TAGCTGTTTTTTATAGATGCTGTTTACAATGTTGAGAAAGTCCCTTCTACTCTTAGTTTTGTAAGAGTTTTAATCATGAGTGGTGTCGGATTGTTTGGACGTTTTTTCTGCATCTACTGAAATGATCATGAGGTTTTCATCCCTTATTCTGTTAGTATGGTGTATTACATGGATTGATTTTGAATGCTAAACCGATTTTGAAGTTCTAAGATAAATCTTATTTGGTCATGGTTTATAAACTTTTTTATGCGCTGTTGGATTTGGTTTGCCAATATTTTGTTAAGAATATTTGCATCTATTGCAATAAGGACATTGGTCTGTAGTTTTCTTTGATGTCTTTGTCTGGCTTTCTTAGGGTAGCATCAGCCTTATAGAATGAGTCAGGAAGTCTCTTCTCTCATAATACCAATAATACTGGTATAATAATAGTTACTATTTCATCTTTAAATGTTAGACAGAATTCACCAGTGAAGTTATATGGGTCTGGGTTTTTCTTCACAGGAAGATTTTTTTTAACTATTATTTTAATTTATTTCCTTCTTACAGGTCTATTCTGGACCTTCAGTTTCCTCTTAAGTCAGTTTTGGGAATTTCTTTCTTTTTATGAATTTTTCCATTGCACTTAAGTTGTCTAATTTGTTGGCATAAAGTTGTTCATAATATTCACTTACAATCCTTTTGATTTCTGTCAGGTCAGCAGTGTTGCCCCCTCTTACATTCCTGATTTTGTTGCTTTGGGTCTTCTCTCTTGTTTCTTGGTCAGTTAAGCTAAAAGTTATCAATATTGTTGATCTTTTCTAAGAACCAATTTTTCATTTCCTTGATTTGTTCTAGTCTTCAGTTTTCTAAGTCATTGATTTCTATTCTGATCTTTCTTTCTTTCCTATTGCCTTCTTTGGGTTTACTTGCCTCTTTCTCTCTCTCTCTCATGTTTCTTAAGACAAAAGCTTAAATTATTGATTTGAGAACTTTCTGCTTTTCTAAATCCTAGTTTAGCTCCATCTCATTAATTTTGATATTTTGTATTCTTATCTAATTCAGTTTAAAATATTTCTAATTTCATTGTGATTTTTTTCTTTGACTCCAGGTTATTTAGAAATGTATTGTTTAATTTCTAAACATTGAAGAGTTTCCAAATTTCTTTCTGTTTCTGATTTCTAATTTAATTTATTTGTGGCTGGAGAACATACTCTGATTTAAATCCTTTTAAATACATTGAAATTTGTATTATGGCCTATTAAATGGTCTAATGTAGAGAATGTTCCACATGCATTTGAAAAGAATGTGTATTTGTTATTTTTGGATAGAGTGTTCTGTAAATGTCTGTCAGTCAAGTTGGTTGATAAGTATTGTTCAAGTCTTCTATATCTTTGCTGATTTCCTATCTAATTGTTTCATCAGTTGCTGAAAGTGAGGTATTGAACTCTCTAACTATAATTGCTAAATTGTCTATTTCTTCTTTCAGATATCTATCCATTTTTGCTTCATAAGTTTTGAGGCCCTGTTGTTAGGTGCTATTACATTTATAATTGTTATATCTGCCTAATGTATTTACCCTTTATCGTCATGAATGTCCCTCCTTGTCTCTAGTAACAAAAATATTTTTTATTTTAAAATCTATTTTGCCTGATATTAATATAGCCACTCTGGCCATCTTATTGCTACCATTTGCATGGTATACCCTTTTCATCATTTTACTTCCAACCCATCTGTGTCTTTTGTGTGAAATGTACAGTATCTGTTAAATCTTGTTTAGGGTGACAATCACTGCCTTTGGATTATAATGTTCAGTCCATTTATCCTTAATATGATTATTAATATAGCGTATTTAGTTCTATTTTGTTTTCTATGTCTCATTTTTAAAATCTGTTCCTTTGTCACTGCTTTTGTGCTAAACAACATTCTTAGCATCCTGTTTTGACTCCTCGGTTGCTTTACTATATTTTTGTTATTTTCTTAGTGGTTGCTCTGCAGATTACCACATGCAAATTAACTTACACCATCTACTTCAGGTTTATATTGACTTAATTCCAATAAAATACACCATTTCTCTAATACATCTTCATGTCCTCCCCTCTCCTTTGTGCTATTGTTATAGCTCTCTATACGTTACAAACCCAACAATATTGTGTTCAAATTATTGCTTTATATAATCTTATGTCTTTTTACAAAATTAGGAGAAGGGAGAAAAAACATATTTACCCTGTCATTTATGTTTCCTCACAGATACCATTTCCAGGGCTCTTCATTTCTTCCTGCAAATTCAAGTTATCAAGTGTCACTTCCTTTCACCCTGAAAGATCCTCTATGGCAGGTCTGCTAGTAATGAGCTTTTGCCATTTTGCTGGATATAGAATTCTTGATTGAAAGTATTTGTCACTTCAAATGTCATTCCACTGCCTTCTGACATTCATTCCTTCTGATAAGAAGTCAGCTGCTAATTGTATTGGTGTTCCCTGTAAAGGATGAATCATTTTTCCTTGCTGCTTTTCAGATTTTTTTCTTTTCCTTTCAACAGTTTGATTCTGATGTGTCTAGGTATATAGCTCTTGTGTTTCATATGATTTTTGGTACAAAGCAATACGCTTGTCAGTAGCACATAGCTTATTTATATTATTGTTTAAAGGCAGCAGAGGATGGATTTTTTTAGGTGTCAAGACCTAATGCATATAAGTGATGATGGATATAATTAGGGTGAACATAAATTTCAATTTTCCCAGGACAGTTCCAGTTTACATCTATTGTTCTGGTTTTATAACTAACATTATCCCTCTCATACTTAAAAGTTTCTGATTTGAATTTAAAGCTATAGAATCACTCTATAATTACATCAATTGAATGAATGCACGTGAAAAATCTTCTTTGGTTTCTGGGTGTATCAGACCATGTGATTCAGAAACAAATAAAAGCTACACACACATACACATACAAAAACCTATATGGATGTGTATACACACACATTTTCTTTTTTGGTTCTGTGCTCCTGATCATAAAACAATCCACAGAGTCTCACTGAGAGTTCAAGATTGATAGTTCTGTAGTACACAGATTCTTGCAATGATGAAGAGAGGCAATCCCAAAGCATTTGATAGTAGCTAACGCTTTTGGGCATTTCAGAAACCACTGGTTCTTTGGGAAATGAGAGAAGGGAATGCACTTTAGCTGCACTGAGCACCCGCTCTGTGTCAGATACTGTGCTTGGTACTTTCTGTGCACAATTTCATTTATTCATTGCAAGATCTCTGTGAGGCAGGTATTACATCCCTCTGTTAGAGTTAAGGAAACGAAGTCTTGGAGAGGTTAACGAGTTTTCCAGGGACACATAATTGGAAAAGGAAAGAGAATGCCCAGTTCATCCTACTCCTTTCAAGTCCTGGAAAAATCAGTGGAGAGGCAGCTGTGTGCTCATGGACATAAAGGCCTAAAAGTACTCTGCAGAAACGACACTAGGAGAAAGGGCTCCTATGGTGAGGCCCTCCTGCCAAGTCTGCCTGTGAGCAGGGTTAGTTCTCACAACATCTAACAAACAATATGGCAGCAGCATGAACCAAGGAGAGCGGGCACAGAACAAGCAGAACAGAAGACATGTGCTTGTACTGGTGTGCTCTGCCAGAAAGCCTTGGTCCTAAGCCCTGCTCCTGAGAGGTGATGTGTTTTAAAATGCAGGTATTATTGTTATTCAAGTGTGTTGAGGCCAACAGAGAAGGAGACAGTTGCCAGTGAAAAGATAACTTATACTCACAGATCCCAAGGGTAGGGGGCCACCATGCCATGAAGGGCCACATGGGGAAGCCCTGGGATTTGTCAGAAGGCAGAGGGAGAGGGGGAACCATGGGCAGGAGTCTTTATTGTGGGAAGGAATGGGTGAAGCAGGTTAAGCAGGCTGAGGTTTGGCTAGTTTGAATAATTTCAGGGTGCTGGGGCATAAGGGCTATCCTTGTTTGTCAGGTACCTGCCCTGGGGTGATGACAGCAAGGGGATAGTGGCCCAGAGTATGAGAGACTAATAAGGGAGTTGTGTGTGTGTGTGGCGGGGGGGGGGGGGGGGGGGGGGTGGGGGGGGGGCGGGCTCTGGATTGGTTAGTGTGCATATGAAAGGCATGCTTGCAGGCAAGTTGTTTGCTATCTCTAGGAATTGACCAGTCCTGGGAGGGGCAGTCCCTTCAAGGTCAGCAAGGCCCCAAGATGTCAAAAATCAAATACAGAAATTAGAAAACATGGTTATTATACAAAGCCCTATCCTTCATTCATTCATGCATTCATTGGTGGGTGAGCTTGGGAAGGGTAGGGACCTGAGGGAGGAGACAATATTGCTCTGGCATCTTTAGCCATGAGTCAGGGGATACAGTTTTGATGAAGCTCCACTTTTAATTTGATCTTCATCCCAACCATTCTCTTCCCTTCCCACTCTGCAGATGCCTCCATCCCACCTCATCTGTCACAAGTATATTAATAAGAAAATGAGACCTAGCGCTTATTTAGCCAATATGTTTTTTCCCCTGAGGAAGATTTGCCCTGAGCTAACATCTGTTGCCAATCTCCCTCTATTTTGTATGTGAGCCACCACCACAGCATGGCTACTGACAGACGAGTGGCGTAGGTTCATGCCTGGGAACTTGAACCTGGGCTGCCAAAGTGGAACACACCGAATTTAACCATTAGTCCACTGGGGCTGGCCCGAGCCAATATCTTATCATGTTATTTCTCATGATTCCAGTTCAGTGGGTTTTTCCTGTCTAGTGTCAAGGGAGCTACAGTAAGGCTTCTTCACTCTGTAATTCCCCACCATGGTGGAAACGAACAAGATCAAGTCTGACTAGCATCTGGACTCCCTGAGAAGAAATAATATTGCATTTGGCTTTCCTGGCACAGACTATTGGACTGAACAGAGACAGACTCAGTTACCAGCTCTTGGAGGAGGAGGTAGAGATTTTCACATTGTTCCAGTCTTACCAGTGAACGTCCAGAATTCTCTACATTTGTCTCATTAAGGAAACACACTTACAATGCAGAAAATGCTTGATTATGACCTCACACCTTTCCCTTCTCATCTCCAGCCACACATTTATAAAAACATTGTTCTGTATGGGATGTTCGAGTACAATGATTGAAGCTACAGTGAAGCCAGGGTTCTGTGCACTAGCACTTTGAATAATTAGTAATGGGATGAGGTAGGGAAAGTAGAGGGAGAAATGGCTTGAGATGCCTGATACTGGATGTAAGGCATTAGCCATCTTAGGGCAGAGATTTCATAAAGAGGTAGCATAAAGTCAGAGAGCATGGCTGAGTCCATTCCATTCTTCCAAGATCAGGAGCATGTGTAGCAGATAGAGGGTTGGATGACGGAAATGGAGAGAGCCCTGGATATGACAGCTCTACACCAGGAGACGTTCTGAAGTTCATGGTCCAAAAGTCAAGGGTCAGCTGGACAGGCTGCATCCCCACCAGGGAAGTCTCAAATGTTCATTGTCAAGATGATGAACTGAAAATAAAAAGAAAGAAACAGCTAGGGCCTGTCATCTCTCCATTTCCCTAGCAGCCTCAGGAATGTCCCAAGTTTGTTGATGTCACAGGAGATCTGCCATCTGATTGTTTTGCCTACAGACATAGACTTCTGCCTCAACATGGAACCTTTTTAAAAAGTTAATTAATTCTCAGCACTTTATGTTTTCCAGAGGTTCTGAGCACCTTCTGAGTGAGCTCAGGTCAAGGGCAGATCGTGCGAGAGAGAGAGAGAGAAATGTGCTTTCTCCCTGTTGAAGCAGACAGCCTCCCTGAGGCACCGTGGGCAGGGCAGTGTAAAGGCCCTTTTCCTCTTTGGTGAGGGGTCCCCTCACCTTGAGGAAAGAGGTGATCCTCCATCACAGAGGGGCTTCAGGAAAGGGAAGCAGGCTCTGTGTCTGGGGCTCTTTACAAATGAACTGGTGGGGAAGTAGCATGAAGTTCCTCCTCATCTCTATCCTGAGTCTGTCCTGCCTCTTCCTCCTCACCAGCTTTCTTACCACAACATGGTGACTTGGGGGAACAAGATTATGTGGGACGGTTTTTTCTCTCCCCTGTGCCCTCCTTCTTGGCCACAGCCTGTGCCAAGGCCAGGGTTATGAGAGGCTGGCTGGAGGAAGACACACAGGCTCTATTGGCAGAGTCACTGCAGGTGAGGCCAACTCAAGTAGAGGAAGGCTCTGATTGTTTCCTAGATGGAGGGGAGGGGGCGTTCAAAACAGTAGCCCTTGAACTTGGCCGCACACTGGACTCACCAGGGGAATTTAAAAAATAACAATGCTTGGGTCCCACCCCTAGAGAGTTGGGGTTAGTTGGTCTTGGGCATGTCCAGGCCAATGGGGGGGGTGGGGGGGGGGGGGGTTAAAATCTCCCCAGGTGATGCTAATGTGCAGCCAGAGTTGAGGATGGCAGGGTTAAAGGGAGAGGGAGAAGGAGAGGATTCAAAAGACTTTTCCTGTTGTCTTGGAGAGTGATAACTATGGGATGGGGCAAGAGCTTACACCAAATGACTTGGGTCTGTTGAAGTGAGAGGGGACAGGATAAGGAGCTCATTCCAGCCCCCACACCTGCGGACACTTGGGTTGAAAGTGACACCTTGAACCTGAAGCAACGGAATGCTTCCTCCATGATTCTAGTATTTTTGGGCCTGTGACCGACTAAGAGGCTACTGAATACCAAACCTCCCTTGCACTACGGACAGGTGTCAACTCTCACACTTTCTTCACGCTTATTAGTGGCAACGCCTTGAAGTAAATGAGAAATAAAGGTGGGTCTAGGGGTCCCTCTTATTTTCACAAGGGGCTAATTTGAGTACATATATCTTTCTTTGGAATCCTGGGGTATTTTATACAGTTATAAATCAGAGGAATTATATTTATTGAATGTGTTGTAGATGATAAGGTGAGAGAGAATACTAGAAAAGAAAAATGTCCAGTGTCTGTTCTCAATGAAATTATAATGTATCCAGGGATCTGAGATACACATATGAGAAAATTAGTGAAAAGTCAACATAAATTGCCAAATTACATGATATTATTATAATCCAAACTTTTGGTGTAAGATTAAGGCCTAGAGCTCTTTCTGCCAATGGCAAACTGAGGCACAGAGCAGTTGATTGACTAGACTCAGAGCACAAGGAGAGGAGTCATCCCATCTGCTAATACATGCTGTCATCCTTCTTAATCTTGGAAAAGGCAATAAAATGGTACCCAAATCCAAAGTCGCCACTGACTTTGGAAAACAGACGCTGTGTGTGGTGTGAGCATGGAAATGGGTGGGCAGAGAAAGGACTCAGAGATGGGGAAGGAGACACAGGCTGCCTGGCTGTACCTCCCTAGGTCAGAGGGAAAGCAGAGCTGGACAGAAAGGCACAGGGAGAGAAATAAAAACACAGGAAATAAAGATCACGGGAACCACTGAAGGAAAGCACCCGGAGTTTTCCCCTTTGCCTTCAGGCAGAATGTCTAAGCAGTGTCCTCAAACTTTAATGTATTTAGGAACCGCTGGGGATCCTGATAAAACGAGATCTGATTCAGCAGGTCTGGGATGGCGCCTGACTCTGCATTTCTTTGCTCTTTCTTTTACTTTTTATTTTATTCATTTATTTAATTGAGTTATAACTGATGTGTTGTGTAAGTTTAAGGTGTAAGTTAAGTGTTGATTTGATCCATTTATATGTTGCAATGTGATTACCACTGCAGCCTTAGTTAACACCTCCCTCATGTCAAATAATTATCACTTCTTTTTGGGATGAGAAGAATTAAGATCTAGTCTCTTAGCAACTTTGAAGTTTAGAACACAGTATCGTTGGCTACCATCACTGTATGGCGCTCTGCATTTCTAACAAGCTCCCCTATGTGATGCCTATGCGGCTGCTGCCGGACCACAATGAGGAGTGGGGAGAGGGCCATCCTCACCTGGGATGCCTCTTTCGAGCCTCTGAAACTCTGACCCATGCTGTCTCCTCCATCATTTTTGCTGGAATCAGCCCCTGTAACTGGTGAAAGTAGTGTATTTCTCAGGGTTTTTGAGGTGTGCATACATGCACACACACATACCCCTCAAGAATCATGAGACCCACAGGACAACATGAGCAAGGGGAATGAATAAACTGGAAGCTAGAAGGCAGGCAGGCTGAGGGGCCCACATGGCAGAAGGAAGAGAAGAATAAGGAGGCAGCGTTTGCTTGCTCACTCTCTTCCAGGTGATTAATCTTTCTGTGCCTCAGTTTCCACATCTGCAAAATGAGGATACTATTAATCCTCAGCCCATAGGACTATAGTAATGATTACATTGACTGCTAAATGAATAGTACTTCAAAAATATTAGCAATCTTATTGTTGTTATTATCCCCTGGCTAAATGTTAACCTCCACACGCAATCATGATTCAACAAACGTTTACGGAGCGTGGGCTCTGCCTAGCTCTGGCGGGGTCCCTGAGCGGAAGGTGTGACTTGGTCCTACCTCGTTTATGTTGAGATGAATGAACTCCTTGTTCTTGGTGCTGAGGGCCTGGAACACCCCTAATAGGAGAGACAGGAGGAAAGCATCATGTAGGGAGAGTCCTTCTACAGGTTCAGTTATCTTCCCACGACCCAGGCGCCTTCCCCGGAGCCTGTGGAGGAGCTGCTCCATCTGGTGGTAGCAAGGATCTTCTAGAATGGCAGGCCAGACTCAGGCCCACTGAGTGGGAATTGCTCTTACCTGGTGGAAGCCTCTAGAATCTCTGTGATGGCAGAACCCAGTGGCTTTAGCATTGGGTGGCATGTGCTGTCATCTACAATATGCCAGTCAGCCAGCCAGCTCCTGGAGCCACAACATCTGCCCTATCTTCACTTTTAGGGGCTACAGATCCCTTGCAATCCATGGACGTTCTCCCCAGAAAAAAAGCACATGTATGTAGAGTTTTGCTTGAATCTTGAAAGCTGTTCAATCTCTATGAATCCCCTATGAGAAGGTAAGCATGGAGGAGTTCCCACAGGTGGGCAGAGCCGGGGTAGGAGAGCCAGCCAGTCTGAGCTGGACGCCATGTCTACAACACTGAAGAATCAGAGACAATTGTTTTCCTCTCTGGGCCTCCCCATCTGAGTGGCAGTGGTGGAGCCAATCAACCCTCGCCTCACCTGAGAATCACCCAGGGAGCTTTAAAAATACAACAAAAAGGGGGAGGGGACCGTCACAGAACAAAAGAGACAGAACCCAACAGCCAAATGCAGTGGTGATCCTGGCACAACCAGGCAAATGTGAAAGATGGCCTGGGGAATTTCAGCACGACCTGTCTCAGACGATGCGAGGACTTACTGAGAATTTAGTTAGGGTGCAAACGGCATGATGATTATGCTAAAAACAAGTCTATCTGTTAGAGATATTTACAGATAAAAGGACTGAATTTCTGAGCTCTATTATTAAGTAATTCAGGGAAAAAAATGTGTTAAGGGAACAAATGAAAATGATTAACAAGATGATAATTGTTGAGGCTGGGTAGAAGGCCCTGGAAGCACCTGGGGAATGTTATAAATACTGATGCTGTGTGTCACCCCCTAGATTCTGATTTAATTGGTCTACTGTGCAGCCTGGTCATCAAATTTTTTTTTTTTTGAGGAAGATTAGCCCTGAGCTAACATCTGCTGTCAATCCTCCTCTTTTTGCTGAGGAAGACTGGCCCTGAGCTAACATCCGTGCCCATCTTCCTCCACTTTATATGTGGGACGCCTGCCACAGCATGGCTTGACAAGTGGTGCTATGTCCACATCCAGGATCTGAACCAGCAGACCCCCGGCCGTCAAAGCGGAATGTGTGGACTTAACCAATGTGCCACCGGGCTGGCCCCATCAAAATTTTTTGAAGCTTTCCCAGGGATTGCAATGTGTGGCAACATTTGTGTGTGTGTGTGTGTGAGGAAGATTGGCTCTGAGCTAACATCTGTTGCAAATCTTCCTCTTTTTGCTTGAGGAAGATTGCCGTTGAGATAACATCTATGCCAATCTTCCTCTATTTTATGTGGGATGCTGCCATAGCGTGGCTTGAGCAGTGCTAGGTCTGGAGCCGGGATCCAAACCTGCGAACTTGCAAACCCCAGATGGTGGAAGCAGAGCTCGTGAACTTAACCACTACGCCACTGGGTCAGCCCCAATGTTTGGCAACATTTGAGAAGCACTGGTGGAGGACACGTGAGGACTGATTATTATTCTTTATACTTCATGTATCATTCAAAATTTCCAGAATAAAAAATTAAAATAATCCTGGGGTAAAGCCCCAGCCTTGGTATTTTTCAATCTTCTCCAGATGGTGAATCTAATGTGAGGACCCCAGAGTAGATAACATTAAGCCTAAAGCACCTTCTCTCTGACATTCCTCGATTATAAGAACAAGCTGAGAACACCCTGGAGGGAAGGATTGGTCCTGAGGGGGTTTAGATAGGAAAAGGGCCGTGAGAGAAGAGAAGCCGTCAGATCTCATCATTTCTAGGTCCGTCTGACCACCCTGTAAGTAATCAGTGACTCTCTCAGCAGCGTCTTTCTGAAGTTCACCTCTCACCAGCTACTGGTAACCACCCTAGAGAAAGTCCAGTCTCCTGGCTTGACGTGCAAGGCCTTGAGGACCTGCTCACCTCTGAAACTGGCATTATCAGTCACCACGTATGCCTTGCTTTCCTCTCAGTACGGCTCTCCTGGCGCTCCCAGTCTAGTGGAGACAGGCTTCAGACAAGTGACTATGGATATGTGTTCTAAGTGTCACAAAAGAAGCAGAGGGAGCTCTAGCACCGTGGAACTGAGGAGCACAGCCCCTGCCTTGGTTTACCAAGTGCTCTGAAGTCACCCACCAAACATACTTCAGAAAACGCCAAGCAAGACTGGCTCCATAATTTGTGGGGCCCAGGGCAAGATGGAAATACGGGGCTCCTTGTTCAGAAATTGCAAAAATTCAAGATGGTGACCCAGGAATGTTAAATCAGACATGGGTGTCCTTGGGGGTGCGGGGCCTCGTGTGCCTGCACAGATGGCACCCCCATGGCAGCTGCCCTGGTTCTGAGTTACAGGCCCCTGGATGGGCTTCATTCAGCTTCACCTTTGTGACCACCCTATCACTGTGGGGGGAGGTGGATATGACCATAAACTGCACACACTAAGGACCACCTACATAATGTCTGTCTCTTCTTGGGGTAACAAATCTTGTTTGAGATAACTGTGTCAGCATCCAGGGCTTACAAAATCCAAAGGTGGGTGGAGAGGGGGGGAGGAGGAGAAGGGGATGGGGGTGGGGTAGGATGGGAAGGACTGTTCTGATTCTATGTGCTATGATGGGATTTGACCTAAAATCGACCCTTCCTCAGATATGAGGCAGAACCCCACCCCAGCCCACCGTCCTTCCACAAAGACACTGTGGGTGCGTGTAGAGAATGACTGTTAAAATAAACGCACTGCTGAAAAGACACACATTCCCCCCACAGCTAACCACACACACGTCACATAGATCCGAAGATGGCTCCCTGTGACCTGTCTTTACTCTAATTTTTGGCAGGTTGCTTCTCACGTGCTCCTGGGAGGTGACTGGGGGGAGGTGGACTCTCCCCTGGGCCCAGGACACTTACGGCTCGCGTTCTCCAGCCGGACCATGCAGTTGAGGAAGTCGTCAAAGCCCAGTTGGAGCTCCTCGTCTGCGTATCTGAGGACGATCAGCTGCAGGAGGTGACTGCTCAGCTGGAAGCCTGTGGGGAGAGTGAGGGGTCACCGTCCTGCCATGGCCTGGCCAAGCCCCAAGGGGTGCACCAGGGAGCGCTCTGTCAGCAGAGGGGCGAACTAAGGGGAGGGAGCCAGCATTCCTGCCACAAAGCGTGGGTTCCCAGACCCAGCAGGGGCTGCTGTCCTCAGTGTGAATGCGGGGTGACAGTGTGTGTCTATGTTGGGGCCGTGCTGGTGAACTCACAGCTGTACCTTCTGAGTTTAATGAGTTTGGGGTCTTGGTTTTGACGCCCACAGCACCCATCGCATCTTGCCGACTTTTCAGGAAGCCTCGCTGTGGGGAATCTAACGCTGGACGGTGTCTGAGCCCCACTCCCGCACCAGCCTGCCCTCTCGGTCTATATCTGATCTCACTTCTGGCTGCACTTCCAGCTTCTGCTGGGCCCAGGAGGATTCCAGCTGTGACACCTGTAGTACGTGGGTGTTTCTCAAGGGCATTTCAACCCAAAGGTGTTGCAGGCTCTAGGAATCATGTGTCTCTGAAGGGATGCTGCTGGCCATGGAGAATGAGGTGGGGCAGGGAGAGGCTCGTTCACACACACCCACGATGGAGTAAGAACGCCAGGCTGGAGCTGGGGACTGGATTTGAGCTCTGGTGCTGTTTGGGCCAAGGGCGGTCTGCTTCGCTTCTCTGGGCTTGGTTTTCTCATTGGTTTGGGCGAGGGAAAGTTCCTTTTAGAGCCAATAGTTAATGTTTTGATTTCTAACCAGCATCCTTATGACTTCGTCCCCCTTTCATTTCAGCCTACACGCTCACTTTCTAGGAAATGTTCAAAGTGTTGCTCACAAGTCCACCTAGGGTCTTCCTGCCTCCTCAGTCCCATTTCCAGACAGAGGAGGAGCCAATCAGATGCAGAGCACAGTTTCTGCAGCCAGCACAGTGGCACTGGCTGCTGGCGGTGGCCAGAATCCTGGTGTCTGCTCTGGACGGGCTGGAGGAGGGAGGGTGGGGGGATTTCCTGTCCCCAAGTCAGGATAGGAAAGACCTGGTCACCCCTCCTCTCTGAAGGGCTCCCTTTGTCCCCTGCTCTGTCCTCCTGCCCTAGAAATGGGGTCACTAGCCCTTAAGAAAATCCCGTCCTTCTCCTCTGTGGTATTCTCCACGTGTCTTTCTAGTCTTGCTTTCTTCACCCTCACATAGGACCCAAGCTGCTCTTGATTTTTTACATTCTGTCACTGTATCAGACCATGAAGATGACAGTGTTTCCAAATGTTTGGTTTATCCTAGAGGGAACCAGACTGCAAGCTTTGGCAGGGCCCAGGGGACACACATATGAAGCATGCTTTGTGGAAACACCGTGCGGCTTGGCAGGGGCTGTGGACTCCAGGGGCCGTCGACACTGCAGCTATATGCAAAGGACAGCTGAGCCCCAGAGACTCAGACTGCAGGACAGTGACTTCCGGAGGCTTAGGAAGGCCACCAGGAAGCCACCCTTCGTGCAGGGAGCCAGTTATAAACTATGACTGAGTCATCCAGTTTGGATTCAGTGCAAAGCCAGGGACAGGGCCACAGGTGGCAGAGGGGTACGTGAGCTCTGTGAGCTCCTCCCTGACCCCAAACCACAGGATCGAGCACGCCCTGCCTCGTCTGTGATGATCACCGTCTGAAAGCGGGCATTAGAGGTTTGGAAGAACCGCGGCTTGCCACCAAAGGGTGATCATCTGCTCGGCCAGAAAACTTGGCCCGAGGCTGAGAGGCCTCACAGGGTCAGGCTGAGTTCATCCTTAGTGGGTGCATTCTAAAGTTCCTGCCAGTATCGCACAGGGGCTTAAAATGTGGGCCCTAGTGTGAGCCAGCGAGCCCTGAGTCTGAGGCCTGGCTCTGCCACTAAAAGCACCGTGACCTTAAGAAGCATGGACTCAGGTAGAGACCAGCCTCCTGCTAGGGCCGTGACCACCCACAGACAGCACCTGACAGCCGTCAGCCTGCGCCTGACATCCAGGCTTCCCTTTACCTGCGGCTCTCAGGGCGGTCCGCAGCTCGTAGGAGGACATGGTGCCGGATTTGTCAGCATCGAACTGAAGGAAAAGGTTCTATGGGGAGGAGAGCAGAGGGATGAGAACCAGAGAGCACCAGAGGCCACCCATGGCAGTAACTGGGGGACGGCCAGAGCAGGAGGAGAGATTCCTCACAAGGGCCCCAAGAGCCGAGGGTTGGGTCAGGCCCTCCGGAAGGAGTTGGTCCCTTTTGTTTTCCTTCTCCTTCTGGGCAGAGACATTGCAGTACTTCCGTCAGTCTCAGAAGTAAGTATTGGGATTCTGTCACCATTTCTTCCCTTCTGACCTTTCCAGATAAAATCCTCTAGCCTGCAGCACCTTGGCCTTTTAAAACCTCCTTCTGCTCTAGGCTTCTAGAATCCCCCAGCGGGTTACATACCGTCCACTTCTTCAGTTTGTCCCAGAACACTTTGAATGCACTAAACTCCAGCATCCCGTTGCCACTGGTCTGTGCAGGGAGCATTAAGGAAGGAAGCCGTGAACAACCTTTCAACCCAAGGCTCCCGAAGACCCTCAGGCCTGGGACTTCGGTGCGGGGACAATGGGCTGGCACGGGTGACATGGGTCACACAGATTCAGGGCTCTGAGAGAGGTGGTGTAATTATTAAACCACGGACATCTGAAGAGTGCAGAGGAGAGGTGGGGCCAGCACGAGAAGTTTTGAAAAAGCACACACAAAAAAGCTCTCATGCCCTTGGATGGGCCCCCAAAGTGACAAGACCCCCATATCTCTTCAAGAACATTCCCCCCACTGGCCAGTCTGAGCCTTAATTCCATTCCAACTCTAGCACCAGGCGTCTCCCAGGTTTTGGTTATTCTCTGTGAAGAAGCCTATCCTGCTCGTTAAGGATGCCACATTCTAGGAAGGTCTGTACTACAGAAAAACGCTCAACATCTATTTCTGCCTACGTATTTGGAAGGATACGTCCATTAGAGAAATGATGTTTTTACAGGAAATCAGGCTTAGTTTCTTGAATTTGATGTCCTTTCCTGAAATCACACAGGAAAGCAGAATTCAGTTGACCCCTGATAAGATAAGTCTATCCTTGTCTGCTGAAAGTCTAAGAGTGTGGTTAGACCTGGGGCTGGTGAGGGTGAAGACGTGGTCACTCTTAGGATGCTGGTGAGAGTAGAAATTGACATGGCCTTTTGAGAGGAAAATTTGCAAAATATGGAAAAATCCTTAAAAATGGAAATATCCTTCCATCCGTTTATCCTAGTTTTCTTTAAGAATCCCAAGCAAAGAATTACAAATTAAGATTTTTATCATTGGGTTATTTGTAATGGAAAAAATTTAGAAATAATATAAATGACCAATGGAAGGGTATGGGCAATAATTTAGGTTATGTCCATATGATGGATTAGAACACAATCCTTAAGAATCATGTTTTTGAAGCATATTTAATGACCTGGGGAAATGCTTATAAAAACTGAGTTTAAAAGGCATGCTTTAAAGTTACTGGAGAAATTTGAAAGCTCATACACGGCTAGTGGAAATGTAAAAGAATGACTCTGGAAAATAGCTGGGCAGTTGCTTATAACATTAAATAGAGTTACCATGTAACCGGCAGTTCTCTTCGCTAGATACCCAAGAGAAATGAAAAGACATGTCCACACAAAAAACTTGTACACGAATGTTCATAGCAGCATTATTCAAAATAGCCAAAAAGTGGCAACAACCTAAACGTTCATCAGTGGATAAATGGATAAACAAAATCTGGTGTAGTCATACAATGGAAGAGATCCAGCTGCAGAAAGGAATGAAGAAGACCTGACAAATGCTACAACATGGATGGACCTGGAAGACATTATGCTAAGTGAAAGAAGCCAGTCACAAAGGACCGCATATTATATGATTCCTTTTATATGAAAAGTCCAGAATAGGCAAATCTATAGAAACAGGAAGTAGATTGACTAGCCAGGGGCTCTGGAGAGCGGGGAGAGGGGTTCTTTTTAGAGTGATGGAATGTCCTAAAATTGGTCATGGTGATGGTTGTACAACTCTATGAACATACTAAAAACCATTGAATTGTATACTTTAAATGGGTGAATTGTATAGTATCTGAGTTATATCTCAAAGCTGTTATACTAAAAAATAAAATTGTATCTATAATTTAATACCAATTACATGTGTGTACATGCACACACACAGAAACACACGGACTACACATATACATACACAAAGACACACGCACGTGTATGCTAACTGGTTATTTATGGGTGGTGAGATTATTGGTGATTTTCATCTTTGTCATTAGGTCTTTCTGCATTTTCTGGAATTTTCTACCATAAACCTGCATCATTTTTGTAGTCAGGAAATAAGCAATGAAAGCTGTTTTTAAACTCTACTTAAAGTCAGCCCTGGAAAGCAGGTCTGCAGCTCTGAGGAGCAGGGAGCCTGGGGGAGCCGGAGGGGACCCAGGCAGCATGCCGTCACATGTCCCCCACATAGGAGCCCTGGGGTCGCCGGTGGGTGGTGGGTGCGAGCACTTACTCTTTTGCAGCACAGCATTTAAAACATATTCAAGCTTCTCTGCTGTCACCTCCATGTCCTGTGAAAGTGGAGACAATTGTATGGCCTTTAGCACCTTCTTTGTTAGAGCCGTGTGCCCATCTCCTGAGTGGTTGCAGCCTGCTTACTTCTCAGCCCAGAAAGGTTGGGAAAACTGGGCAAGGCATGCTTCTGGACCCCTGATCTGAAGCCCCCAGATGGCGCTTATGTTAGAGGACATTTGGGTCTGAGTCCCCACACGTCTGCAAAGCAGAATCTCCTGGAGAGCTTTGAAAAATGCCCACGCCGGGGCTTACCCTAGGGACCATTTCAATCAGAAGCCCTGCGAGTGTGGCTCATTGATTATTTTCAAAATCTCTAAGGGTGCATTTCAGAATCATTGATCTAAGGTTGTCCACTAAATTCCACTGAACCTCCACATCCACAGCATGTAGAAGCCTGTTAGAAATGCAGAGTCTCAGGCACCACTTCAGATCTCTTGCTGAGGAATCTGCATTTTCCAAGATGCCCGGGTGATTTTTATGTACAGGACAGTTTGAGTAGCAGTGACTTAGGGCTCCTTTTGCCCAGGGTTTTGAACTAGCAGTGTGCAACACAATCACCTGTGGCGTTCTTTTCACACATGCCTGCCCGGGCTCTGCCCCTGGAGCTTTTGAGGCCTGGAGAATGGGGGTTTGGGATGTTCAGCCCTAGTGAAGCGTTGCTGATCCAGCTCAAGCCCCCACTGAGCAGAGGAGGCAAGAAGGATGGAGCCATATGTCCAAGTCATAGGCTGGCTGGGAAAAGAGCAGGACTAGGACCGAAGAACTGAACTCTGGAGGTGCTTTGGTTGTTAAAAAGGTGGAATGAACCTCCTGCAACATTCCCTGCTTCCCTTCCAAGCCAAGATCTCCATTTCTGGTAACTTCTGTCCCTCTCCAGGGACACCAGAGGCTGGGGCAGAGGCTGGGAAGACCCAGGTCCCCCAGGAGTAGCCAGGGCCCCCAAGAAGCAAGCTGAGCAACTGAGAGGGCAGGAAATGGGGGACAGACTGTCCTTCTCCAGTGGCTGGCCCTGGCCCTCAGCTTCCAAAGCTGGCCACGCCTCTGTTGTTAATGGACAAAGTGCTGGTACACAATTGCAATTTAATGGTGGCTTTTCTGAACAATACCGCTTTTGACCAGAGCAGAGAGAGCCTTCTAAAGGCAGCGATTGCTGGGCTGAGTTCAAAGGAGCCAGCTCTTTAAGGCTTTCTCTAGCTTCACAGACAGCTGCTGGGTGGGTCTGAGCTCCTTTGGGTGGCAGACTGGTGTGAGAGGTGTCCTGGAGGAGGTGGTCTTTAGGGCCTCTCAGATGACCAAGGCTGGTCTCACTGCAACTAGCTCCACCATGCCTCGGGCGCCAGCCCTCTGGGAAGCGTTTCTGATGACACTCTCCTGCATCCCTGGTTGGGAAGCAGGCTCCTCAGCATCGTGGGGGATCAAGGGCAGCCATACCTCACCAGCCACTTGTTCAAACAGGGCCCGGAACTGCTGTTCCTCCTCTGTCTCTTGGCCAGGGAGCATCGGCTTTGGAGGCTAGAAATCAACCAGAGGAACTTGCATCGGACCCAGAAAAAAGAAACTTGACATTTGCTTTCCCAAGAAATAGCAAAAAAGAAGAGGCTGGGCTGGAGGTGGTGCTGCCCCATGGGAGAAGTCGGGACCTCACGGGCTATTTGGTGGAGCTCAGAACTGGCCTGGACCATTAGCAACAGCTGTCTCGATTTCTTGTGAAGGCTTTTTAGAAGGAGAGTCTGGAAGGACTTCTCAGTGGGACTCTGTGAGCCTGCTGGCCTTAGAGATGAGCCTGCGAAAGGAAGCCAGACTCCTGCCGGGGTTGGGGTCCCAGCCAGGGTGGGCGTCACTCCCTGCACTTCCTCCGTCTTACCGCTCACCACCCTTGACTGTAATTACTTGCTTAATCATCTGTCTTGATAGGTGGTAACATCTTTGAGGTCAGGAGTCTGTTTCTAGCACGGAGCACCGGGCCTGGCGCAGGGAAAGGGCTCAGTAAATGTTTTGGGTGTTTTGTCTTGTTTTGCTTTTGGCTTCATTAATAAGGCACAACCCAGAACGGGCAGCAAGGAGCGGCAAGTTCCCTTCTCAAAGCAGATCACTGCTGACTTTGGAAGCCTCAGACTGTGCCGGCCGCACCTCACACCTCTTGAAAGTCTTCCAGCCCTTGGACGAGTATAAAACCAGCCCCCGCCTCCTGACAACACACAACATAGGGAAGAAGTTATGTGTTTCCCCAAGTCCACGGCAAAAGAATCTACCGGCCTCTCTTGTTTTCTTTTTATCGATTATTTTTCTTAAACTGAATACGTTTTAAAGATACTCCATCCCTTTTGCAAGCAGCAGCCGCCTCTCAGCGAACAGAGCGAGTCAGTAGCACAGAGAAAGATCAATCCAAATAAAGCTTTCTACCGAGCACCCACCTGGTTCCGTGCTCGTGCCTGCTGGGACCAGAGAGACTAGGAGGGACAAGCCTTGTTCTCCAGGAGGTTGGAACCAAGGTGCTTACCTGATCGCACGTAACCATTTCCTGGACTTCAGAGTTTGAATTGACGCTATGGTTACAAGGACGGGTTCCCGGACAGTCACTGAATCCCACCCTCCCTGGGTCCATGAGAAGACTCACCTCAGGAAGCTCAATGTCTACATTTCCATCCACGTCCCTGTAGGAGCAAAAGCATGTGACTCATTGGTGGCTCACCTTCCTCATTAGGATCTGCTGCCCTAAAGGGCCCAGAGGTACTGGAAGGTTCTGTTCCAACTGGAGCCCTTCTTTTTCAGTGGCGTTTACATTTCACAAGGTCTGCAGACCCCCTGCCCTGACCTCCCTCTCCCCCGTCACTCAGCCCCTGCCCAGCAGGAAAAGAAGAGGGAGGGTGTTTAGCCATCACTCAAGGAACACTCGTAAATTCTGGCCTTCTAGAAGTAAAAGAAGCCAAGCCAGCAGTCCCTCCCTATTTCCTGAGTGCGCCTTAGCAAGGGATATTTATGAAGCGTGACACAGAACAGCAGAGCAGACCCAGAGCTGAGCTCTCTGCATCTTCTAAGGAGGTACAATTCCTTGGAGACAGTCATTCAGCCTGTTGAGGGTTAATCATTTGGGGGGGGGGGGGGATTTTAAAAGATTATAGAGCAAGCTGAGTCAGAACAAAAAACGACTGACCCGAGCGAGCGGCATCCTTTTCCCTGGCCCCGCCCTGAAGGATGTAAATCCTTGCTCCCACTGGGGGAGGTGAGGCGCTGTGTGGTTGTGTGCTTATGTTTGGGGAAAGAGGAAAAATCTGGAAACACGTTTATTTTGCTGTTCATATATTTAGGGGAACCCACAGTGTTTGGAAAGCAGTAATACTGAGAGGAGGAGCAGGTTTCAGTTTTTGCTGATACTAAAAACCTTCGGAAGAATCCAGTCTTTTAGGTTAAAACCTAAAGCGCTCGCAAAGAAAAACTGCTAAAAACTCAAAGGGAATACAAAGAAGCACACAGTAGCCTCTCTTCCTCCTCGCCCCCTGGCACACACAAAACCCCTTAGAGCTTTCTTGTTGTTGTTTGGGACCCTCTCATGAGAACTAAACTTATGGAAATAGAGTTTAATGTGGGTCTTCTCTCCTCAACCTCCAGAGCTGACTCTGGGGCTCCATGTCACAGCAGATTAAACTATCTTGTTCAGGGCAAGCTGAGAATGGCGTCAGCTTTGCCACGTATAAGCTGCCGATAAATGCCAAGGACTCTGACCTCACCCACCAGCAGGACAGAGGAGACACAGAGTAGGATTGGCACAGCCTGGCTTCTCTCTCTCGTTCTTGCACCCACAAGAGTCGCCAATCTGTGTGGATGTCGTATGGGTGGCTTTGTGTAGGCAGATACTGGAAATTCACCCTCAGTTTGTCCTGGTATCTGGGAGATGACTGGAGAACAGCTCTCCCGCAGAGTTTTTTAAAGACTTTATTACTTCTAATTAGCTGACGAGAAAAAAACATGCCTCCTGTAATCAGCTTAGGAAACTCAACCAGGCTTTATAATTGGGAGTCTTCTCAATGACTGCCACCAACCTAATTTTACCCCACTAAACAAGAGATGAAAACCAGAGCAGACCATGTGGCCACAGTTGTCTCTCTCTTGTTGTCTCTGGTCAGTCCTTTGTTGTGGATTGATCTGACTTAAATACAGAATTAGTAGGTTTGCCATTCTCTGCGAACTCTAGAACGTCTCCATTGGGAAAAGAAAGAGATTCTTGTATCTTGAACCATTTTTTCCTCTGCCGGAGAACGACCAATGGAAAATGGGCAGTAATGGGAAATTTTTTCCATGAAGTAACTGATACAAAATAATTTTGTTGACATTGCCCAGGAGAGGTGGCAGAATGTCAGGAATGTAAAACAGTAGGTGTAGTATAAGCACCAGACCATTAGCTTTTTTGATGGCAATGTAAGTGCCTGACATTAAACTTTCGATTGGTGAGGTGTCCACTTCAAGGGAATTCATTTCAGATAAACAGATTGCCAGCTACACAACCGGATAAAAGAGCCAGGCCACCTCCCCCAGGAAGTTCCCTTTTGTTGGGAAAGCTCTGGTTGACCTAGATAACTGACCGCTTGCTTTTCCCTTCCTGTGCTTTAATTCCTGCTCTTATATTTTAAATTCACCAGAAAAGAGTGAGCCCACGAAACCCTAGGCTCCCCACCCTCGACCCCAATAAAAGCGGAATGCCAGGTCCGCTCTGTCTCTCTCTCCCTATGACATTGCCCTGTGGTCCCAGGCTTGCTGTGTGTCTTCCAGGACTTCTGAGTAGTAAACCTTATTTTTTCAAAGTTCCCTCATGGTGGTTACTGAGGTGTGTCTTACAATCATAATAAGCACCACAAGGGCCGGTCCAGCCACAACATAGGCTGGGAAATGTCTGTGGGGGCTCGCCACACCAGGTCCCAGCCAGAGCCTCAGGCATTCTTCGCCAATAGCCTCACTATCTATGGGCTGAGACCAACTGCAACAACACGCCAACATTTATTTAAACGGGAGCTGAAAGAACGTGCCATTTTTGAACCTTGCAATAGCCACTGACTTCATTGTGCACAGAAATAAGTCTACCATCCCTAAATGTGGCTCCTACTCTAGAAGCTTCTTGGTAACAGGGTCTGGAAAACGAAGGGCTCCACCCTTCAGCTGGAGAGAGCAACTTTTTAATAGTTTGTCTGGAGGAGGGGAGGAGTGAAACTAAAGCGGAAATGTATCCTGCTTTGCGAACTGATTGAGAAACCCTCCTGCCTGGTTTCTCAGGTCAATCATGGAAAAGGCAGGAACGGGGTCATGGCTCCAACAGACCCCTGGTGACTTCTCTGTGAAGGAACCACTAAATGAAGAGGGACTCTTGAACCTGTTACTCACTGGGTAATGGCTTTCTTCTCGGAAAAGATCCTCAGGCAGAAATCGGCTTCCTGATGGGGCTCAAAAGTGCTGGGAATCAGGATGTATTCCCCAGGAGGCAGCTTGAAGCGGTCGGAGACTTCTCTCAGGTTGATGAAGGTTTTGCTTCTGGCCTGGGAAGCGTGGTATCTGAAGAAGTCCTTGCTCAGGTGTTCGTCTTTGCCGGGGCACTGTGGCGGGGAAGCAAGGGGGGCGGTTTTTCTCGGGAGGACTGCTGATCTTGGCTCCTTGGACACAGTTTGGGGTCTGGCCATTGAGTCTCAGGCATGAAGCCAAGGAGGAACTGAGGATTTAGAACCCAGAGGGTGGACTGTGAAGAGCAGTCTGTTCCTACCCACCTTGTAAATGGCATAGCCGATGGTCAGCACATTGGCACCAAATCTCTTGAGTTTCCTTCGATCTTTCTGCATCAGGGCTACAAGGAAAGTGCACTCCTCCTGTCCCTCATCTGTCTCAGTCAGGGACAGTTTTATTTGTGGATTGGTCCAAAAGGTATCTGCCATTTGAAAGACACAGGTTATTTCCCTTTCCTTTAACAAAACACAAAAGACACACACACACATATACTCACTCACGCTTCCCTATCGACCTCCACCACAATCTCCCAAACCTGAGAAAATAATTTCTTCTCTCCCCCTTCTGATCGCCTTCTTGCCCTAATTTCCATAAGCCACTATGAGAGGGCGAAGTGTTCTCCCTTTCGTCTCCACCTTCTTTTGAACCATTTCCCATGCAGTCTTTCAAAGACATTCTTCTAGGTCTAGTTGGCTACAGTTTGTTCCATCTTATTCTTTCCATTTGGCATTTCAAGGAGAGGGCCGTGCACTGTGGCTGTCCCCCAGCATCTTTTCAATGGTTGTGCAATTTGAGCAGAGTGCCCCTCACTCCCAGCTCCAAGGGTGAACTCGGATTGGTCTATGCTGGTCCCTCTTGCCTCGGAGAATTAGAACAAGGCCAGTCAGCCCACAGCATTCACCAAGAAATTTCAAGGAATTCCTAGTTAGAGGGAAGCTGAGGACTTTTGTTTAACGACCCTTAGGAATTGTCATTGAGCATTTCAGTGAGGGCTCGGGAAGCCTTGCATGCTCTGGCAGCCCCCCTCTGACTACAAAGAAATCCAGACAGTGGAAGAAGACAACAGAGGAAAGAGGGCAGAACAGAGAATTACAAACAAATGGGCTGATAGAACTATGCCCGAAGCCCGCCTACTTCTCCTCTGAACTTTTCAATTATGTGGGACAATAAACCCTTTTTATTGCTAAACTAGTGTGAGTTGTGTTTTCTATTACTTGTAACGGAAAATAATCCAAGCGGTAAAACAAGGGAATTTCTCCAAGCAATTCTTATCCAACTTCCTGCTAAATTCCCGCAGCCTTCTTTTCCCAGTCAGCCCTGAAATCCCATGGTCTGACTCCACGTTTCAGGCTTTCTCTAGGGTCTTGGCCCTGATCCATTGATGGCCCCTGGTTGGACGGGACACTTGGGAATGACAGAGAGAATGACAGGCAGACTACCAACCCAGGAAATTGCGGCAGCCCCCAGCTGTGGAGCCCCGCACCCAGCTTCCTTGATGGACCATCACCTCCCATTTGTGGAGAGCACCCTCCTCCAGGGCATCCGGAGTGAGGTTGCAGATCTCTACTTTGTCAAAATGGGCCTTGAAGTCCCTAAACGCCATCCTGCAACCAAGTGGACAGAGACAATGCATAAGAGGTGATGGTCACGACATGGTCCATTCATTCATTCAATCATCTAACCAACAATTATCCAGTGCCTGCTCCTGTCTTCAAGGAGTGGGGAGACCTCAGGTGTGGGGAGACAGAAAATATACACACAGGCACAAAAGGCAAAGAAAGGTTAAAAAAAAGGTTTAAAATGGGGGAAAAAAGTAAAAACTTAGGCTGACTATATATAAATGCTACAAAGAAAAATAAAGTAAGGTGAAGGATGAGCGTGCAGGGGTGGGCGCCATTTTAAACAAGGAGGTAAGGAGGACCTCACTGATCAGATGTGGAAACCTGAAGCATGGGGGACGGGGCACAGTGGCTCTCTGGGGGTTCCAGGCAGAGGGAGAGCAAGGTCCTGAGATGGGTAACTGCTTGATGTGCTCAAGGAACACCAGGAAGACCAATGAGGTGGCACGAGGTGGCAGAAAGGGATAAGATCCAAAGATATTGATGGGTCAGGCAGGTCATCATAACGTTTCTGGCTTTGACTCCGAGAAGATAAAGAGCCATGTGAAGGTGTCAAACACAGGAGTAACATGACCCATGGCTGCTGTGTTGAGAAGAGACTTCAGCGGGCACAGAGCCACCAGCTGGGAAGTTAGTCCATCATCCCGCTGAGAGATGAGGGTGAGTCAGTCCAGGCTGGTAGGAGATTTGAGACATCTTCTGAAGGTAGATCCTACAGGACCTGCTGATGGATTGGATGTGGGGGAGGAGAGAATGAAAAAGAGTCAAGATGTTTGGTTTGAGCAACTGGAAGGATAGAGATGAGGGGAAGGCTGTTTTGGAGCAAGTTCGGGAGAGAAGCTCAGACGTTGAGGTTTGGACATGTTAACTTGGGCTGTCTATTAGATATTCAAGAGGACTGTCAAGTAGGCAGTTGAGTATATGGATCTGGAATTCTGGGAAAAGGAGCTGAAGACACAAACCTGGGAGTTATCAATGTACAGACTGTCTTTAAACTCATGCAACAGGGTGAGATCACCTAAAGAGTGGGAGTAGATAGCGAAGAGGGGGCTCCTTGGACTGAGCACTGGGGCACTTCAGTGCTAACAGGTTAGGAGACTAGGAGGGACCAGGACAGGACCTTGAGAAGGAGCCCAGGAAGCAGGAATCCAGGGAGCCCAGTGGCAGCCTTGTCAGTGCTGCTGAGGGATCGAGATGACTAGATTCAGCCAAGTGAGAGCCTATGGTGTCCTTGGTGAGGGCAGGTTCCATGGCATGATGAGCCACACACCATAGCTGAGGGGAGTCAAGAGAGTGAGGGCAGAGAACTGGTGAGTTTTGCCGTAGAGCAGAGGAGAGAAATGGGTTGGTGGCTTGAGTGGGTCAAGAGAGGTTTTTTTCCTTTGAAATAGGTGAAATTATAGCATTGGAATGCTAATGTAAATGATTCAGTAGAAGGGAGAGAATTCATAAATAAAGGGAGCCAGAAAGTTGCAAGAAGTATGTCCTAGAATGGGTGAAAGATGAAAATGGGAAGAGATGGGCTTTTGCGTCAAGATCCCTGGAGGAAAGGCTCCTTACCCAGAGAGCTGATGACTTTAATACCGTGCCCTGCCTGGGGCAGTTTCAGGCCCAGATGTCAGGGGCAGCTCCTTGAAGAAGGGCAGATGTGGTAGGGGCAGGGCAATGGATCGACCGCAAGGACACTCTTCTCTGCTGGGCCTCTCACTGTCCATTTCCTCATTTCCTCTGCCCCATTTCTCCTTCCTTCTGTGTCAGACCTTGCTTCCACTAGCTTCCACCTTCCACTAGCCTCTCACACTCTGGTTCCTCCCTCCTGCTCATAATTGCCAATTTGGGGGAGGATACTAATGCCAGATCTCAGCTTTTTTCTGCAAGTTCTGCTGTTTTCATGTAACTCATTAACCCAGAGACTCTGTACACAAAATTTAAGGTAAATTTGTCCCTAATTTCTGATTCAACAGATTGTCAATCTCTCAAAACACCTTGCCTGTTTTCCACAGATTTCTCTGACTTATGACCTCATGGTTCCCAATGCAGAGAGGGCTAGCAGGCCACCAAAGTTCATACACTAGGATGGACCAAGGACAGCACCCCACCCGCTCCATCTAGGGCAGGAGGTCAGCAGTGATGTGTGTTAATTCTGGGCCAAGGCTCTTAGGAAGCAGGGATGTCTTCTCCAATCTTTCATTTTCCATCTTCTTGCAGATGAGTTTCCTGCGGATGACTGTGTGACGCCAGGGGATGGTGGAGCCACACAACGGAAGGAGCTTGGGTCCTTGAACCACTGCATGGAGAGCCACCCACAGGACAGGAAGGTCCTCCTGCACTGTTGCAATGAGTGAGAAATAAACTTTGTTGCATTTGAGTCTTTGTACGTTTTGAGACTATTTGTTACAGCATCTGGTGTTATCCTGAGTCAGGTGCCTGGAAGTATGGAATCATCATAACAGATTTCTAAAACATGTGATGTCAGCTTAGCAGTTGGGCCGGAGGTTGAAAGGCAATATTAGGGATGGAAAATGGATATCCATGTTGTGAACGGCAAAACATTTGATAAAAATGTTGTTTGTAAAAATATGGAAAACAGAACAAACGCCTAATAAAGCTGTGCTCTAGGGAAAAAGAATAGAAAAAGCTGGAATATTAGTGTGTGCAGGATTTGGCTTGTTGCATTTAATAAGGTGTTAGAAGAAAGAAGTGAACTCTGGTAGGAACTGACTGGTTTGAGCACATGAAAATGAATAGAACCAGAAATCAGAAACCTGTGGTCCTCCAGGGTTGGAAGAGCCAATTGTTTCTAGATCCCACAGGAAAAATAAGACTGAAAAAAGCTTCTAGAGTTGAAGGCCCATTAAAAATGCTCAGTTAAACAAAGAGATTCAGCCCTGTGGGAAGTCCAGATTAGGAATGCATCCTTCTTCCTTAGGTCTGTATTTTTAGATGCTCTCAAGGCAGCTGCCTTCGAGGGTCTGCCGCCAAGCTGGGCCTCGAGAGAATGGACTCTGAGCAGCAGGCTGCCTGTCTTCAAATTCACCGTGCAAACTTGGATGACAGAGAATGCAGACAGGGATGCTGGGCTGGAGACCAGAGGCTCTGCTCATGTTTTCTGGATCTGACTAACCCTCTTGAAACCCTTAAATAAACCCGGAGATGGGATGAGTCCCTCACACACGACAGATTAAATTTTCTGCTGACAGGGATGAATATGAAGGATTGGAGACAGATGTATTTGATTTACCCAAAAAAATAAAATAAAAATAAAGAAAGATGGTGCTCCCTAAACCCAAGGTCCTGGGGCAAGTTCACATCCACTATGCAGTTAATACAGAAATGGAAACAGACATGAGCACTGTACCAGAATTCCCCATCGTCGAGGGCAGTGTGACACAGGCGTCTTTGCTCAGCTGGGCTGATGGAATGCCACTCAGAAGAACTAGGAGTGAACAAAGTCAGCGTTTAGGTAGAGGGTCGTGAACAGTGGCCAGAACAACCCCGGCCTTGGGGTGGGGGAGTGCCCCTCCCTAAACCGTGGTTTGCAGTATGTGAGGAATTGATCCTGGTCAGTGACTACTCACTGGGCCCCAGAAACGTGCCAGGGGATCCAGAGGCTGGTCAGAAAGCACATCTCCAAATGCAGCTAATGGGACCATCTGGCCCTCCTCCGTAGGAGACTATCATGGGACCGTCGCAGGAGTTGAACACCAGCAGAGAAGCAGAAAGAACCCACTGGAAGCCACAGTGGACTGAAATGTGTGACCTGGAGCACTTGACTACTCCTCTTCGTTTATAAGGTGATACTTTGAAAAGTGACAATAATTCCTTATGTTCACCCACGCTCGACATCTGATGTACCAGCTTCCTTCTTTACGTGACCTCCCTGGGAAGCCAGGTAGAGTTTTGTGACATATACGTGCCTGTCCTAGGGACAAGAGGGCTCAGGTGAGCAGCCGCCCACTCTCCTCCAAACTCAGGAGTTCCGCCCCCAAGTCCACTGTGTCTCTGTGAGCCCACAGCCGCCTCCAAATAGAAGTTCAGATTGAGTCCCTGCCCTGTGGTGCCATCCCTGTGTGGCCACCTCATCTACACCCTATAGATCCTGACTCCATGGGGAGGACTCAGGAGATCCGAGTGAAGGACTCAGGAGGAGCATCCCTCCAGGTCCCTCGCGCCGGGGTCAGAAGAGCGGACCTAAGAGCCATTATTTTCTTTCTGAGCCGTCACCCTCCAAGTGGCTCACACCCAGATAATGGGCCTGACAGGCTAAGCAGCACTTTCTGCCCTGTTCTCCTAACAGCCAGGGGCAGGATCACGATGGGAACCGGCCTTCTGTCACTCCCAGGCTGAGTGGGGGGAGAGGCGAGCTTGTTTCCAGCCTTGACTCCAGTAAAAACACACTTTCTTTATGTCTCCCTCTGCGTGTTTCCCAGGAGAAGGAAAAAGGGGCCCTTATCCTTTTACAGACCGCATTCTCTAAATCAAGGAACTCCACAGCTCTATTCACTATATGAAGCAGTCTCATTAATTTTGGTTTCAACATTTCTGTTCTTTCCATTTCCGCCAGGAGAGGGAGGCCGATCTCTTCCCTCCTCTGATGTTGGTCTGCTCTGAATCAGTCTCTGACAATGGCCCACAGTTCTGAGAAGGCGGAAGCCAATTGGGGGGATCAGGGGGGACGAGAGGTCATGCTGGGGGGCGGGAGGGATGGGACACAAGAGCAGCCATGTGGAGGACAAGCAGTCCTGGAAATGTGTTCTGGGCCCTCAGGCTGGAGTCTGATTAATAAAGACGAACACCAATGGTTGGTGGCCTGGTGGCTTTGTCTGAGCTGAGGACAAACACCGGCTCAGTTTTCCTCAAGTTCTAGACTTGCTGCAGGGCTCCTCAGAGCCCCACAAGCCATGGATGGGCCAGGGTAGTGGTGGTGGGGAGCCCAAGGGGCAGAGGCCCCAGCCGAGGGAGGAGGGAGTGAAGGAGAGACAGCTCAGGTGGGCCCTGCCTATGGATGTCTAAACATCCCCTGAGGCTAGTCACCTGGGCCACTTCCCAAGGGATGAGGAGGGGACACATATCAAAAATGCAGGCCTACCTTTGTAATTGGGGACCAAATAAATAACCCTGGTTGACTGCTCTGTCACGGATGAATTTCCTCTTTCACTTCTATTTCTCTTCTAAGCCACTGGGCATCTGGCCCATGGTCAGTGCCCATTAGAGAGAACCCTACAATGACCTGCTTGGCAATATTTCATGGATCCTCACCCCAAAACACTCATTGCCACCCATACCTCCATCCTAAACACACACACACATACACACATGTGCACATTGCTTATTACAGCTACTCATATGAGAGATAAAGCCTTTCACATGGGGATATGAAATATCCCGTGGGAAGGAATATGTTCACTGACATAAATACAATTCTATGAAAGTTAAAGAGTCATTATAAGAGTCTTCAAGTTTGGGCCCGAGGGCTGGAAGGGGAGGAAGTAAGGCCACCCAGAAGCAGGACAGGACCCCGAATAAGAGCCAGCAGGGAACTGTAGACAAACTACTCCTCCTTCACACGTCTGAACAAGCCAGCCATGGCCCCACAAGCCCCATAAGCAGCAAGAAGGAGGGGACCCACCAGAGAGACAGGGCGGGGACTGACCTGTCGCTCCAGGACCCGTTCCACTCCACGTGACCCCAAGGGTTCCGGACTCTGATGAGTTCGATTTTCTGGCCTCGGCAGTTTACCTAGAAGAGAAAAGCATTGGGAAACATGAAATGATGAATTCATCCATGAGCTCCAGAGTGGGTCCTCTCCAGCCAGGGCTGCCTTTACTGGAAGTGTCGTCTACAACACACTAAAGAGGTGTCAAAACTCATCAATTCTTAACTGGCTCTCAGGATTTTCTAATTCCTATTGAACACAATGGCTAGCATCACCAATGATATTATATTAATTTCCCCAGAATGGGTATGCTCCATCTGGGAAATGGAGTAGAACTGTAATTAACATGAAATTAGTCCACGTCAGTCTTCAAATGCGTGAGCTTTCTCTCCAGATCGGGATCTCCCCAGAGGCAGGGGTCAAGTCTTATTTGTCTGTGTGTCCTCAGCATCCAGCACAGTGAGTGGTAAAGAGTAATTTTTGGAAGTGCTCATGGAACCATTACTGAGTTTTCTTCATCCTTAGCATCTTATTCACAGGAGAACGATAAGAATATAAGCACATGCTGGGAATTGAAACAACAACAATAAACAAAAAAACACTTCTAAGTCTTCTAAATCCAACATTCTCCCCCTTTCAGGTGTCACATGAAGATCTCTGCTGTTCACACTGAGAAGCCTTGAGCCTGTAAAGACGGATGATTCAGCCACGTCCTTGAACACTCTGCCCTGGAGCAGGAAAGAGGACCAGAGCATTTTAGAAAGATCTTGGAGGAAAGAGAGTGGAAATAAAAGACTTCTATTCATTGACAACCCAGAAATTTTAGCTCTCAGAGCACTTTATCCACATGCATTTGACACAAATTATAATTTTGATGTGTAAAAATAATTTAAGTTAGTATAACCTCTCCAGAGTTCAAGATGCAGCCTGTAGTTCACCATTTATGAGGTTCATTGATTGAAATGTTCAGGGAAGGTAAATTCCTTATAGGTGGAGAGAAAGCAAAAGGAACTGAACAGAGATGATGGAAGAATTCTGTTGTTACCTGGAGTAATATTTAGAAGATCTAACATTAAAAACTGTGTGCCTACTCAAGTGAGTGAATGGCAAGGCACGCACGTACAGACAGAGAAGCAGGGACCAACACAAAGAGCTAAAATTCTGAAGAATCCAATTGCATCTCCCACCGTGAACACTCTTCTCACAAACCGCAGTGGGGAGGAAGGCCAGGGCTTCCTCCTGTGTCTCTACTCCTTGCTCGTTGGGAGTGTGTTACTCAAAACATGGGCAGTAACCGGAGGAGACCGGACGCACCTGTGTCCTCTACATACTGGGTTTGAGACTTGTCCAGGAGAGGCATGGGGGCAAAGAGGGGGGCAAAGTCAGGTTTGGACTTCACTGATTGAACCTGAGAGGGCGCAACCCTTAGCTTGTCTTCCTCTGTCATCTCCTCCTCTTCCCTTCTCTTTCTCATGAGTCCTTCAAGGAGCTCTCCTCCCAACCAAACACTCACTAGAAGCCAGAACAATGCTGTGTGGGGGTCTAGGTGGCCCCCAGGGATCAGTTCCGCCCTGGACTTCAGCTGCAAAGACTAGGATTTGTGACGGTTAGTTTTATGTGTTAACCTCACCAGGCCACGGGGTGCCCAGGTATTTGGTTGTATTTGGTTGGTTCTGGGTGTGTCTGTGAGGGTGTTTCTGGATAAAATTAGCATTTGAATCAGTAGACTGAGTAAAGCAGATGGCCCTCCCTATGTGGGTGGGTCCCATCTAATCAGCCGAAGGTCTGATAGAACAAAAAGGCAGAAGAGAGAATTCACGCTCTCTGCCTGACTGCTGAGTTGGGACATCGGTCTTCTGCTCTGAGACTGGGACTTATACCATTGGTTCCCCTGGGTCTCAGGCTTTGGAGTTAGACTGGAGCTACATCACTGGCTTTCCTGGGTCTCCACTTACAGATGGCAGGTCATAGGACTTCTCAGCCTCCGTAATCACGTAAGCCAATTCCTCATAACAAATCTCTCTACATATATATATATATATATATATATATATATATGTATGTATATGTATATGTGTATATATATGTATATGTATATATATGTATATATATAGCCTATTGATTCTGTTTCCCTGGAGAACCCTGACTAGCATAGGACTGATGTGGAATGAGGGAAGAGAAGAAAAAACAAAGACCGGGTTTTCACACCTGCTAAACAAGTTGGGTCCTGTGGTGGAATCACATGTTTCTCTCTTTCCTGCTTTGCTGTTTTGAATTCCAGCCTGCCTCCTTTAGATGAGACATTCTCTGAAATGTCTGAAAGTGTGGTTTAAACTGCGACACACTAAATCAGTATAAGCAACTAGCATTGTCGAGTCTATCCGTGTACTCTGTCAGCAGGGGTTCATGTCGCCTACCTGGTCAATTCCCGTCACAGTGTAGGCATGACCCTTAATGAGACCGAAAGGCGTCCGGGCTTCAGATTCTGCAGCATTTCTGATCTAAAACATGAAAAGAGCAATGTTGAACCCATTGTGTAAGTCAAGCCTTCCCTACCTGGCCAGACCCAGCTCTGTGCCTGGCCCGGCCACGCCTGCTCCCCCAAGTGAGGGCTGTGTGCCTGGAGCATAGAAAATGGGTACACAGGACACCCCTAAGATGGTTAGCAGTGACATACAGCAATTGCCCATCTCTTCCCAGGGTGAGGAGACTCTCATTCCCAGATCAGACTCCAATGAAAAGTTGACTCTTCTGCCCATAAACAGAACAGCTTGAAAATCCCCATCATGCAGCACAGCACGAGACAGACGCACAATCACATAAGCAGAAGAGACGATGAGAAGCATATAACAGTATTACATACAGCCCCATGCCACAGACTTCAAAATGGAGAGGAAATGGATAATTTAGTAGCAAAGAATAAATTCCCAAGGTTAATCCAAGAAGAAATAGAAAACTTGAATAGGTTTCAAAAAATAGATGAAGTAAAATGATATGTGCATTTGTATGCATAAAGAAATCAGAAAACAATACTGTTTGATTTCTATCTATTGATATATTTCTTCAGGATATATGAAGTGAGAAAAACAAGTCTCAGAAGAGTATATAGGAAGATTCCATTTAGTACAATCAACCCCCTCCAACCTCCGTGTTTGTGTACATCTGTGCGTGCCTGTTTGTACGAGCAAGGAGAGTAGTATGAAGGGCGCACCCCAGGTATCACGGGGTAGGACTCGGGGAGGAGATAAAAATTTGCCTTTATACATAATCTCAGGATTGTTCCACCTGACACAGCAAGTATGGCTTGCCTTTCTAATTTGAAAAACATTAAACACTTTTGTTTTAATTAAAATAAACATTGACACCCCAACAAGTGATACCCTTCCTTGCATGTGGCCAGGGCACCTGGCTTAGACCTCCAGCCCTGGAACAGCACCTGAAATGTGAGCAAGCGAGCGACTTACATCAATGGAGCAGCCCACCAGAGAGCTCCTCTTCAGGGCCTTCTCTAGAATCTCATAGAAGTTCTCTGGAGCCTCTTTAGTTTCGAAGGTCTCTGCTACACCCCCCGTGAAGTCTTCCATGGCCTCGATGGCGTTGCCCCCCTTCAGAGCCTCGTAGCTCCCGTTCAGCCTATAAGGGCAGCAAGAAGGCATGGAAACTGCTGCAGGGAACAAGGAAGGCCACCAGGTGGCACCCCTTAGCCGGAGTTTTCCCAACTTAGTTCTGAGAACCATCTCCAAAGGCTTGCCCCAGCAGGATAGGGAGGAGGAAGATGGGAAGCAGGGAGGGGGTTTACTTGGAGGAAACAAGAGATCCTGAGCTCTCTGTGAGATAGGCAGTGTGGTGTGCAGGTAAAGAGCCTGGACTCTGGTCCCTAAGTGGCTGCAGGTTCAAGTGCCAGCTCTACCACTTACAAGCCGAGTGATCTTGGGCCAAGTCACTCACTTGGTGTTTCAGTTTCCTAATGTGCAAAATGAGGGTGATGGTTGTATGCTCCCTCCTAGGACTGCCATGAGGTTTAAATGAATCTCTCTCTCTTACTCCCGTTCAGGGGTCTGACCATGAGGGTGTTAGTTATACGTAGACAGAGAGAGAATTGAAGACTTCTCTCTTCCTTTCTGGTCTCACATACTCCCAATCATTTTTCCTCATAGTCTTCTCTTTTACTAATATGACTCTGTGTGTGTGTGTGTGTGTGTGTGTGTGTGTAGATACTTTGCTTGAATTTTAAAATAAACTTTTCCACTTATAAGAGTTTTAGATTTATAGAAAAACTTGCAAATAGTAGAGAGAGTTCCCATATACCCCTCACTCAGTTTCCCTTAATGTTAGCATCTTACATTAGTATGGTACATTTGTTACCTGACTGAACCCATACATTATTATTATTCAAGGCCACACTTTCTTCATATTTCTTTAGCTTTTACCTAACATGCCTTTTCTGTTCCAAAATCCCATCCAGGGTATCATATCATGTTTAGTCCTCATGTCTCCACAGACTCCTCTTGGCTATGACAATTTCTCAGACTTTCCTTGTTTTTGGTGACTTTGACGGTTTTGAGGAATACTGTCAAGTGTTTTGTAGAATGTCCCTGGGTTGAGATCTGTCTGATGCTTTCCTCATGATTAGACTGGAGTTATGGAATTTGGGGGAGGAAGACCACAGATGTGACGTGCCCTTCTGACCCCATCAGGGGTACACACTGTCATCCTGACTTGATGCTGCCTTGACTGCCTGGCTGAGGTGGTGTCTGTCAGGTTTCTCCACTGTGAAGTTCCCTCTCTCTGCCCTTTCCACACTGTCTCTTTGGAAGGACTTCACTTTGCGCAACCCTCACTTAAGGAGTGGGAAGACATGCTCCACCTTCTTGAGGGCGGAGAGTCTGTCACGGACTAATTGCCCTGAGGAACTCAAGGGAGGTTTCGGAGGCATTTAACTGTTTCTCCAAATTGTTTTTTTGTTGTTGTTATGTTAAGAGATGCAACCACCAACCACCTTGAATCAGACTGAGGCCACTGCAAGAGCAGTGCCTGCACAGGTGACCATAGCATGTGGTGTACGTGGAAGCAGGTTTTCCAACTGAGCCTGTGCAAGAAAATACCTCCCTCTCCCTTTTGAATATTCATTCCCCATCCGAAATAAAAGGCCTCTGCTTTCCCAGCTCAGGGAGCCACAGCTTTGGAAAAGATTCCACATGGTCTCCTTATTTGCAGCAAATAGATTTTACTTTGTGTGACAACTACTTCTGGTGAAGGCTCTGATTTCAACTTACCAAGAAGCAGACCCACTTTGGTTTGGTATCACATCTACATAAGGCACTTGGAATTCTTCTACATGGCAGACTTGCCTCTTCTCCCCTATTTATTTATATCAGTATGGATTCACGGATATTTATTTTATACTGTGGTTTATAATAAATACTATTTTACTTAATTTGCGGCTCAAATTGTTCCAGCTTTGGCTATTTCCAGCGGCTTCAGTTGGCTCCTGTGTCCCTTTGACATGATCCCATCAGGTTGTGTGTGTGTGTGTGTGTGTGTGTGTGTGTTTAAACCATGTCCTCAGTTTCTGTCACTACAAGATGCTCTAGGCTCATCTTATGTATTTCCCGCCCCAGTCCTAGAATCACCCTTATCTCCGAGGAGCCCTGGTTCCTTTTATTGGAGAAGAGTTTTAGAAACCAAGACCTGAGAATAAGGAGTGCTTGTTGCTATGGGATTGTCATTGCTTCTAGGCCCTCTCAGCTGACAAAGCAAGGAAATATACGTATGCATACTAAGCCATGTATATATACATATAACCATAAATATAGCTATATGTAACCATTCCTATTGAACTAAACATGAGTTTATACTGATGTCTCCAACTCTAATTCACTACCACATGTGTCATTTTAGCCTCCCCTCCGTGCTTCTGTGTAACCTCTCACTCCAACAATGAGAACCTGGCTTCCACCATCTGCCATCTATTTACTTGTTTGATTCAGTACATGTATCATGAGATCATAACTGCTGTCCTGTACCCTTGTGAGAAACAACTTTATCAGCCAGAGTACAATGAATGCTTATGTACAATTTCTCTTGATTTAATCTTACAGACTCCACTTATTTCCAAAGTTACTCAGGTCAGCACCTTTCTCTCCTACCCCTTCAGTGAGTTTGCTTCATAGATCTGTAATGCAGTTAGATTGTTTTGTCATAGTCTGCATTTCATCTTGGGATCCCCCATCCCCCCCTACATGATTTTTTTAATTCACATATATTAAGGTACACTCTTTATGCCATTAAATTCTACGGGTTTGATAAAGACAAATGCATGGTGTCATGTATTCACCATTAAAGTATCATACAGAACAGTTTTACTGCCCTAGGAAAAATTCCCTGTGCTGCACATATTCATCCTTTCCTCCCTCCTTCTCTCCCCGCTGAACCCCTGTCGACCACGGATCTTTTTACCATCTCCATAGTTTTGCCTTATTCAAAATGTCATATAATTGAAATCACACAATACGTAGCCTTTTTCAGATTGGCTTCTTTCATTTAGCAATACACATTTAAGATTCCTTCACATCTTTTCATGGCTTGATAATGTAACCACAGGATCAGGAACAGAACTTGCCACTCCAAAATATGCCCCTTTGGTATAAGAAGTATTTTGGGCTGATTATTTTTTTAAAAACAGCAGACCCAGGGAAAGCTCTGCAGACTTGGTAGAAGCTACCCATTTGTAAGGGAAATTTACATTTATAGGAGAAATCTCCATAAGGGGGCCTTCCTCTCTGTGCCAGGAAGGAGAGAAGACTAAATCTCTAGAAACTCTGATCAAGAAAGAAGGCATTGACTTAAATCTACAGAACAACTTTGCCCTTGTTTACTGTGCTGATCTCATCTTAACAACAGAACGTCAACACTAGTTTTCAGGGGTGGGGAGCCAGCCAGGAGCATGCACAGAAGAGAAAATCTTGATCTGCCAATCAAAACTCATCCTGCCAGTGCTTCTGCATACCAGCCTGCCCTCCCTAATCCCTTAAGCCTTACTCTATACCCTGGATCAGGGAGACAGAGCTGAGAGCTTTCCTTCTGTCTCCTTACCAGTCAATTGCATAATAAACTTTCTTCCCTCGAAGACCGGTGTACCACAGTTGGCTTCCGTGTGCATTGGACGGAGAGAGCTTTTGCTCAGTAACAATAACTCATTGCTTTTTATCACTGAATAATATTTCATTTTCTGGATTAACCATAGTTTGTTTATCCATCCATGTTGAAGGACATCTTGGTTGCTTCCAGTTTGGGCAATTATGCCTAGTGGTGCTATAAACATTTGTGTGGACATAAGTTTTTATCCAACTCATTTACCAAGGAGTGCAATTGCTGGATCACTTGGTGGGAGTATGTTTAGTTTTGTAAGAAACTGCCAAATTGTCTTCCAAAATGGCTGAACCATTTTGCATTCTCACCAGCAAAGAACGGGAGTTCCTGTTACTCCATGTCCTCGTGTGTGTAGTGATATTTCATTATTGTTTCGGTTAGCAATTTTCCAATGACAAATGATGTTGAACATCTTTCTATGCGCTTATTTGCCATCTGTACATCTATTTTGGTGAGATGTCCTCCTGACCGTTTTTGGCCTCTTTTAATGACCAAAAAATAAACAAAGATTTTCTTTTTAGGAAACCTATTCTTTACTCTTCTCTCTGAGGCAAAGGCCTTAGTTTTCACATTCTGTTGAATCCCACCAGCTGGAGCTCTTGGCCCAAACCTTCTGCACAGCTGCAGGGGGAGGGTTTCCCTATGCCGGGCTCACTGAGAATGAAGCTGTGCCCTGCCCAGCTCTGGAGAGCGCAGGAGCTGGCCCTGGAGAGGAGCCTGCTGAGGTTCCCTAATGGGGGGCTCACTGAGGGGCAGAGTGGGGGCTGGACTTCCCCAGCTGTGCCTGGAAGGAGCCACCCTCTGCTCCCCTCCAGCCTGTCCGATGGCACTGAGGGCATCTGCACAGGCCCGGGGCGGGGGGCAGGTGGGCAGGGGGCACCTGTGCTTTTTCTTTGATGGCTTTAATTCTGTCCTGCTGATTTCAAGGGTAATTTAACCCAGTTTACCTTGACTTTATTTTGCCACTTGTGTGCCCCCCTTGGAGGTAGAAGCATGACTCTCCTTCCTGGTTCCATCTCTGAGGACCTGAGACGGGCTCCCAGGGGAGATCTGCTGTCATCTGAACTCAGAACTCAGACTGCTGTGGCCTTTCGTGGCCAAGCTGGTGGGCTGGCAACCGAGAGCACTGGAGGGAACTGAGGCCAACAATGCTGCTTCCGTTTCAGTAGTACGAGGTACCTAGACTGGTCAAATCCACAGAGACAGGAAGCAGAATGGTGGTTGGCAGGGGCTGGGGAGAGGGGTGAGGAGTTAGTGCTTAAAGAGCACAGACCTTCAGTTGTTCAGGATGAAACAGTTCTGGAGAGGGATGGCGGTGAGGGTTGCACAGCAACGTGAATGTACTTAATGCCAGCGAACTGTACACTTAAAAATGGTTAAGATGGAAAATTTTACCACAGTTTTTTTTAAAAGAGAAAGGAAGGAGCATTCTAAAGGGAGAAAAATTGATGTCTCGATAGCCATGTGGTTCAAAGCCCGGACTCTTGAGCTACGAAAACGTTTTAGGAAGTATGGAGAACCAAGTGTTGTCAACACATCCAGAATTTCCCTCTGCTTACCCTCCCAGATCTTTCAAAGGCCAGATTCGTGATGCAGGGAGAGAAAGGGGACATATGTCACCTCTATGCCCGAGGATGGGCACACCTAGGCCATGACAGGAAAGCTGCTCCAGCCGCTCCTTTTCCACCTCCAACACTGACTGAGCCCCAAGCAGGTGGGCCCCGCCGTGCAGCACCTGTAAACCCAGAGCTTCAGTCCCCCTGCTCCATAGAAGCTCCATGAAAAGGCCTGGGGAATAGAGACCAGGCTTCCTGAGACAGGGACCTGCCCACGCCGGGAGCCGGCACTCACTTGGCATATGCTTTTTCCAGCAAGGCGCTCCAGAACTCATTGTGGTCAGCGGAGTGGAGGAAGATCAAGCGGTCCCTGAAGGTGGGCAGTCGGTCATCGATCACCACGTCCAGCCACTCACTGTGCTGCCAGAACTGTTACCATGGGTGGAGATGGAAATTATGGGAGTAAGTAACATGAGAGGTCCAGCCCCATCTCTAAGTGTTTCTCACTTTGCTTTTTCTCCCTCGGACCAAACTGCCTTTACAGCCTTGAGGAACACTGCCCGTGGCTTCCTTGGTGGGGCCACCTGGACCGTGTCCACTAAGCCACATGCTGAGCACCCCACCCCACCACCGACATTGGCTCAAAGACTTAGTGTCGACCTATCAAAGCCAGAGGCAAGCAGGACAGGACCCACATGTGGACACTCTATGGTGCTCTGAATTAGTTCTTCTCTTTCACAAGAAAAAGGTGGTGTGTACGTGTGGTCTGTTCTTGCACAGCTCGGTTCTCTGTGCTTTTCTACCACCCAGCTTCAGCTTCTGTCTCGGATCTTCCTTCACCTTGAGTTTCCTCCTCGCCCGGAGGCAGAGCCTCTGAGACTGACTTTTTGGCCACTCACACACAGAGAGAGGGAGTGAGACAGGTGGACACTCAGGCCAGGTGTGCGGATGTGAGGCGAGTGTGCATGTGCACATATGTGTGTGTGTGCTCTTGCATGCTCAGATGCATGTACCTCTGTGTGTGTTTGTGCACGTGTCTGCGTGTGTTTGTGTGTGTGCATGCATGTGTGTGAGCATGTGCATATGTTTGCACGGATGTGTGTGTGTTCTTTCTCATTCCATTGGCCTGAGAGAGATGCTAAGTTGAGAAGAAAGAGAAAGTCAGAAGAGGAGGGGAGCCATTTACTGACAGCTTTGCGGTGGCATCCTGAGTGTCTATGTCAATGAGTCAAACCCAGTCAGACTGGGCCAACCTGGTGCCTGGCGCAGGTTGTGTGTTTTCTTTTTTTTGGGGGGGGGGGGGCGTGGGAAGATTAGCCCTGAGCCAACATCTGCTGCCAATCCTCCTCTTTCTGCTGAGGAAGACTGGCCCTGAGCTAACATACGTGCCCATCTTCCTCTACTTTATATGTGGGATGCCTGCCACAGCATGGCTTGCCAAATGGTGCCATGTCCGCACCTGGGATCTGAACTGGCGAACCCTGGGCTGCCGCAGCGGAATGTGCACACTTAACCGTTGTACCACCGGGCTGGCCCTGGTTGTGGGTGTTTTAAGGAATACTCCCTCAGGCTCTCTGTGATGGGCCCTCAGTGGTATGTCGGGGGAGTGCCACTGATACTGCCACCTGTCCCAGCTGGGCTCCTCCTTGGGGGCTTTGCCCGGGCACCTCACCCTCCCAACATGTCACCTCAGGCTGTCTTGGGGTTAATGTGACTTCCAGGTCTGCAGAGGCATTGATGGGGCAAACGTTTAATGGCTGGGCCTGGGCCTCAGGACTTCCTGAAGAGGGGCAGGGCTGCAGGGAGCTCAGGGCTGGCCTTCCAGGGGAGAGCTGGCTCAGAGGGCCTTTTGGGGTGGCAGAGAGATGCCCCCCCAGCCCAGAGGGCTCTGCCGACCTCCCGCCCCAGCACACCTGTGCTGTGGCTGAGGACAGCAGAGGACCCCTGAGGAGGGACGTTTATTTCCAATGCCCTGCATGTGACTGACAGGGCCCCAAGAAGACCAACCCCCGCCTGATCAGAGGCAGCTCTGAGCAGCAGTAAAGGCCACCAGAGTCAAAACTCAGATTGCAGGCCTTCGGGACGGAAGGGATGGGGCTGGCCAGGGCATGGTGGCTTGTGAGGAGAAGGTGGTGATGCCTGGGGCAGGGGGGAAGGGAGTGTCTGCTGTGTGCCCGCTGGGCCGCCTCCTTTGTAGGATCTCTTTTGTTCTATGAGAACCCCGCAAGGTTAGCATCAGTCTCTCCTTTTTCCAGAGAGCATATGACGGCCCAGTCTCACTAAGAAAACTGCCTCAGGTCACCCACTGAAGGAGGTGCAAGGGCAAGTTTCAAACCTGGTCAGAGCCTCCACAAGGACTGGGGGTGGGGAAAGTGGGTGAAAAGGGAAGGGGAGAAAATGGGTAACAAGCTCCCAGGGAGCCCCGCCCGAGTATGGCTCCTCACTCGTCCCCCACGGGATCCCGGCAGAGGATGGTTCTGCGTTTCTCTCAGCTTTTATTTTTTAAACTCACTCATGTCTCCAAATCTATATTTCTTCGATAAGGAGAATCTCTCCATTTATCAGACATAATCCAGTTCACAAAAGGCATAATTGTTTTAGGCCATTTATGCTTAAAGCACAAGAAATTCCAAATGCTAAAACCCTTAACAAATGGACCTCCAGATTTGCAAGGTGGCCCTTCAATTTCACTGTACGCTTTCTGAAAGGATTTGCCACAGACGCCCACTCTGCCCTTCTCGGGCATGTAGAGGTTACCCCACGACAGAGCAGGTGGGGGCGCTGTGGGGTGCGGGGCTCTTGCACAAACAGGCTCACATCCCTCCCAGGGTCACCAGGCAGCTAAAGAGGTCCATGCGTGCATCACTTTGGGCCCCAGGGAGGTGAGTCCGCTGGCCACGCTCCCTCTCACCTGGAAATGGAATATCCCAGCATAACCGGGGCCGAAGCCTTGGTCCTGGGGGACCACTCTGGCCAGCGCTTTCTCATTCAGCGTCAGGGAGGCAATGGCAGCCAACAGCCAGCAGTCGCCTGCAAAATGAAAGCCATGAATCACAGTTTCCATGGCTACTTCACAGGAAATGGGACTACTCTGTGCCAGAAGGAGCTGTGTGGCGTTCCAGATGTGGCCACATCTTTTCTGCATTTAAAAACATGGACAAAATACCAACAAATACCTCTGTCCTCCCTCAGCCTCCCTTCCCGGCTCTTCCCCCGCCTAGTTTATCATAAACAGCTGTCATTGTCTTGGCAACATTATAGGATATGCTTACTTGGGTTACAGACCCACGCTCCATTATGCATCAGCTCTGTGGAATTCCAGCAACTTCCTTCCAGAGGCCCAAGGCAGTGTCAGCGTGGGCCGGGTGAGCTGACATTTCACAGATGCAGCCCAAGCAGGTCTGTGGCACTTGGGGGGCCTCAGAAAGAGCCCCCTGTGGTGCCTGGAGAGCACATTTCTGGGACTGAGCCCCCTCCTCAGCCCAGACTCAGTTTAGTTATAGATAATGGTAGCTCCATGGGCATTTGCTTTCAGTTATCTCGCATTTTCAAGATTTGTTGGATAACCTACTGATTTCTCCAGTGTCTTCACCTTAACACACATCTAAAGGAAAGCTCAAGAGTGAAGTCAAACACCAAGGAGTATGTTACCTGTGTCATACCAGACTCCCAGATGTATTCGTTTGCTCTCCTTGAGAAGGGAACGAACCCCTGGTACAGCTTAGCAGCCTTTTAGACGTTGCTTATGAAATGTGTGACAGCAGATATCTGGAAGTACCCATCTAACTGACAGGACCAGTTTTATCCCACATCTATTTGTTTTCAGTAGAGAACACCACTGTCGTTGGAACTCGTGACCCCATCACACTCAGTTTGGCTTTCTCGGCGTTCACATCTCTGGAGAGTACCACGTCCCACTGGACTTGGGTCATGTCACTGACCCCTTTCTGGTTGTTGTACACAGGCAAGAAGACTCACAGAGGACCTAGTGTCAGGAAAGCTGCTTGAGAGTCGCTCTGCCTCTGGCTTTCCCTAGGGTGTCGCCAGCAGAGGGCAGGCCGCTGGTTTCTAAAGCATCAGCTGGTCTTGGGTAGCCTCAGTTCCAGCCTCGGGGAGATTCTGACAGGAGGGGACACAGGCTGGAGGATTTCAGGACCATTTTTTCAGCAAACTTTACTGAGCACCTCTCGGGTGGCAGTCCCTGCTTTCAGCTCGAGGGTGGCCAGGGTGGGCCAGAGTCCAATGAAGCGACCCCCTGTTGTGGGCCGACCTCCTCCACCCTCTTCTCCAAGTTATAACTTTGCCCAATATACAAAAATATGTTTCTTTTCCTGGCCTGAGAGTGTAACACCTCATGTCTCTTCAGCCAGGAATGCTCTCAACTTTTGAAACACGAGATTTAGAAATCGATGTCATTTATGCAACTTAAAACAAAGGAAGAAACTCAACAACAAAACAGGATTGCTTTATCTCTGTGGGGCCTCTGCCGATGGGTAAGATTGGCCACCCCAGCTCTGTGCCCAAGACGGGGTATCCCCAAAGGGATGTTGGGGCTACAGCTGGATGGACTGTAGCACGCAAGGGGGTGCTAGAAGGGCGGCATGGGCGATGGTGTTGGTGGTGTTCTAGCTCTTATTTTGGGTGGCAGGCTCACAGCTGTCCATTTTATTGTTATTCTTCATGACATTTACATAGGTACAGTATTTGGATGCCATAAAAGTGTTACGAAGTAATAGTTATAATCAACCACCAACTAATGTTAAACGTAAGGCTGTAATTCCAAATATGTGTTTATACCAACGTGACAGACCAAAACTGAAAAACAAAGAGCCCATACGACGATTTTCTACTGAATAGTAATGCAGGGATGTGGGGGCAGTGGGACGGGAGGCAGAGGAAGAGTAAGGGGGAGAAACGAGAGGGGAGATGTTGGACAGAGCCGGGAGAACCTCCTAGGGAAGGCTTAACCTCAGTAAATGAAGATCAATCCGGATACAATTTTTTTTTGAAAAGTCTAAATTATATCTAGAATGTGTAATTCTATCATCTCTGTATCTCTCCATCTCTCCGTTTCTCAACTATCATCACTCTAGGTTTGGGACATCCCAGTTCTGTGTTTAGGACAGCTCGGTCACCCAGCATGGAGGTTCCAGTGTGGTCCACTTTGACCATGGGTAACCTCAGCCCGAAGAAAGTTGGCGTCTCACAAGCTTGCAGTGGTTTGCTGTCTTTGGCTGATTCTACTGGTATTCTTTTTTAGGTCTCTCCCTCTTTTATTTCATAGACAGAATAAAGTAAATGCAGCCCAATTTAGGACTAAATCATGAAATGCAGGACCCAATTTTGCTGGCTTGGGGGCACTCTCAGGTCAACTGAAGGAAGGAGACTGAGTTGCTCCGGGGGGGCTCCCCCAAAGTATGAGCCCCTGGGAGGCAGTGTGGCATAATAGTTAAGAGCAATCCAGATCCTGACTCTGCCTATCCATCACTCTCGAGACTTTGGAGCAGTTATGGCCCCCCTCCACTTTGGTTTCTCATCTGTAAGATCTGGAGGGTGGTTGGGAAGATGAACTGAGGTGATGCGTGCTTAGGAGAGTGACTAGCAGGTGACCGAGTTAATGTATGCGAGTACAAGCTACTGTTGTGGAGCAAGAGAGCCAGACCAGCACTGCTGGGTCTCTCCGCTCTCTGCAAACTCCTGGGCTGTGAGCCCCAGATCACAGGCACTTCCACCCCCAGGGGAACAAGAGCATGAGGGGCTCGGAGTCACTGGGCTCCATCCAGGGGGGAGCTGATGGGCAGACTGGGCCGGAGGGTGGGAAGGAGGCAGCAGAGGGTGATAGCAGTGATGTCCCCCCATGTGCCCCATGGGTTTCCAGGGACCCCCATGCTGCTCTTGCTGTGGCAGCAGCTCAGAGGCCCCATCCCGATGGCTCCCATGGGGAGGTCTGCTCAACCCCCTCTCTCCATGCTCTGTCTGCTCACACTTACCAAGCTCCCCCTGGCAGATATCAGTCCTGGTGGCCCCTCCAAGGATGAATTCTGGGTTTTCCACTATTTCCTGGAAGAATGAGAACATTGTTAAAGTGAGGCCAGCCACGTAGTAGTGGGCCAGCCTGATGGAGCGGGCTCAGGGACACACTCCTTTCTTGGAGCAGAGGGCTTTTCTCCTGTTTGATTTTGTTCCTGTGGAGGGACATGAGGAGGTCAAAGGTGGCTGTCGCTCTGTACCCCACAAACCTGTCTCTGGGCCTGTCTCTGGGAGATCACAGCCCTGGGGGTGGTCCTACCTTCTGGGCAGCCCCTCAGCATCGTCCCCCAGCCAAATAGACTCCCACCTTGCCTGGCTGCAAAGTGGGACCTCAGCCGCGCACTGAGGAGTCCCATCACCGCTCAGGCCCAGGGCCAGGAGCCAGGGGCTGCGGGTTCAAATCTCGGCTCCCGACTATGAGCATTGTGCCTCTGTGGGCTTCAAATCCTTCATCATAAAATGAGGTACCACATACACCACAGACTCCTGCCTAGGATGAGACACAAATCCCTACTTGGGCCACTCAGCTTCTTTCTTTTTTAAAATATGCATTGAAGTAAAAATTTTTTGTATATCCATACTATATAGTGAGAGATATGTGCATATAGCTGTCATATAATTTAACCAAAGTGTATTATATTTATTATATATTACACATAATCATACATATTATTGTATATAATATAATCATTAATATATATTAATACATATAATATGGAGGAATATGCATAAAACATTAACAAGAAAGTGTTTGAAAGCAATTATGTAAAAGTCACATATTCCTTCCATTTTTTTGAGGCACCAGGCTCCATTCCTGCACAGACTGCAGAGAAGAACAAGAGAGAAAAAGTCTCTGCCGAGTGACTAGGGGACAGACCATAAACAAGTGAACAGACACAGAAGTTCAGGAGCGGTGCGTGCCAGGACAGAGAGTGACAGTGCGGGACGGGGGCCACGTTAACTGGGCTGCTCAGGGAGGGCCTCTCAGGGAAGCAGGCAGTTGAGCAAGGAGTCATGTGAAGGTCCAGGGAGAGGAAACAGCGAATCATGAGATGGGGAGGAAGTTCTGGCACACAGCAGATGCTCGATCATTCCAACAGGATCTGAAGCAGAAGAGTGAGGGACTTTCCCACCTGGTTCCAGAAACCAGCTGGAGACAGAAGTGCACCACAAACCCAGGCCTGGCACAGGCTCAACCGACATCCTGAATGCCAGCCCCTCCCATCCCTGCCCTCTGCTCCAGGTAGCCTTTGGTGTCTTATTGCCATTAGATCACCCGCATCTCCAATATGGCAGCAAGGCAGCTGGAGGTGAGGGAGGCGGCTCCTCTGTGCCAGTCTCCTGGCTTGCTGGTGCAGACTCTCTCCCACCATGCTCTCTCTCCTCCTTCACCTCGGCTCCGAAGGCTGTTTGCAGGTGGCTCAGAGCTGGGCCAGTGGGAAGGTGCAAACCAGGAAAGTGTTAGTGGCCCCAGCAGTAGCCCTTGCCCATCAGCAGAGGGAGCCTGGGCAGGTCATCTAACGTTGTCGGGCTTTGTCCCCACCTGTCTCATAAGACGCAGACCACCCTCCTCCAGCTCAGATATTTTGGGGTTCTTGCAGAATGTGCATTGGAGCCCCTGCCCCACAGGGCACCCCAGGAGACCCCACAGCACCCCCTGCGCGGCCCAGCACCTATCAAGGGAGTTGCTCCAGGGCCCTAACAAGCAATGCTCCCACTGCCCTTGTTACTCATTCCTAACGCAGATATAGAATGACCCCAAAGGCTGGCAGATCCCTGCCCAGTAGGCCGTGCTAGATGCCAGTTTCCCTGGAGGGGAGGTGTGGAGGACCCTCCTTCCCACCCTGGCTGTCCTCCCCTCCTCCACCTTTTGGCCTGGCGCCCCAACAGCACCAACTGCGCCTGCGGCTGTCACCACCTCCCAGCTCCAGCCTTACAATTGGTTGTTCCTGTCCAGGAGAATTTCATCAAATTGCACCAAACTGTGGACTGATGGAGAAAAACAGAAAAGAAGAAAACTGAGAAATTCTCACCAAGTGAACACAAATTAGCCATCAGGTACAAACTGGTGAAATCCTCAGATGTGTGACTGTCTAGCGATTCTGTGAGTCAGTGCAGACGTGCACCAGTCACAGGGGGTTGTGTGTATGTGGGCGCTGAAAGGCGGCTGTGCTGTGGGCGAGGGGTAAATCCCCGTGTGCCTTGTAGCAGCGCATGCTGACAGATGTGGGTCCCACCTGTGCCACACATATGTGACTTGTGTAGGCATGTGGTACACATGTGACCATGTGTATGTTCCATATGTGTAGGTTGTGTGTGTACTCTGGGTTCCTTGCATTTGTGCCTGAGAGTCCTGCATACATGTGTGGGACCCATAGGTGTGTTTGATCATGTGAAATGCTGTTTGGGGGCTTGAGGACGAGGGTTATCTGAAACTACAGTCCTGTGACAGGAACAAACCTGAAGTGAACCTGGACTGCAACTTGGGGACCTGGAGAGCCCTGGAGGGAGGAGGACCCTGGCACCACTAGGTGGTTTTCCTGGAGGATGGAGGCCTGGGCATCCTGGGATGTTTGTCTCCACGGCCTGTTCTGTTCACCTTGTACATCATCAGGGGCTCAGTTCAGCCAAACACACAGACTTTTAATTAATTAAGTGATTTAAGTAATTAATTTAAAAAGAGAAAAGCTGCATTTCTGACAAAGTTGGAGAGGCTGGGCCCTACGATCGACAGCTGTGTGCTGATCCCCACTGTGTGCCCAGTGCTGGGGAGGCACGTGGAGACACAGGGGTGTTCCAGAGCAGCTGATGGCCTCTGGGGGGCGGGTGGACCCACACAGGGAGCTGCAAGCCTGTTGTGCAGGGATCTGGGCCACATGCCAAGGTATGGGCAGGCTGCAGGGGGCTGTCAGCCCACACTGGAGAGGTAGAAAAATCTTGAGGAGGGAGGTGTCCTGGGTTTAGGCTGAGAAGTTGGGGAGGGAATTGTATGGAAGAAAGCAGATGGATGAGGCAGACAGGGAGATGGAGAGAAAAAAGGCCAAAAGGAAGCCCTTGTGAGCGGAGGGAATCTGGCTGCAGGCTCAGGGAGGCAGGCCCTCGGCTGGACTGTGCTGTGGCTGTCTCCCATTAGGCTGGGAGACCCCCCACCCAAGACCCGCTCCTCCTCACTCAGACACGCAGCCCTTTCACAAGGCCTGGTTCAGACCACGCCCACCGGGGGTGATCTCACCTTCTCTCCAAGTTGAGCCCGTCACACTAACCCCACCCCAGGCCCCCAGGTCATCTCCCACAGTGCACTCCTTGCCCTGGGCTCCCTGGAGGGCAAGGCTGGCTGCCCGCCACCTCTGATGTCCACTTTTCTGATTGCAGCTGCTCTTGAGCTCCACCCCCTGCCCCCAAGCACAGCTGTGTTTGACAAGAAGGTGGTGCTGCACAGGGCACCCCGCCCCGTGGTCCCGCTGGGCAGCTCAGCACTTGCTGACAGAACGTGTACCACCTAAGTCTGAGCAGAAATGCAAACAGCACCCAAGCCACAGAGGCCTTCTGGAGGGACACTGGCACCTCTTATCATTTCCCTGCTGCCTCCCGCCTGCCCCCAAACCATGGACTTTGGACCTCCATCCTGCACCCCAAGCCCCTTGCTCCTGGTCTCCCAGAAATCTGTAAGATATAGCGCAAAGCCCCCAGCCCCCGTGAGCAGGAAACAGAGGTGTGTTTCTGGGAATGAGGACGGAGGGGGCAATCTCAGGCGCAGACAAAGCAAAGGGCAGAACAGATTCTAAAAACGAAACCACAGGAAGGACAGCAACACAGTAGACCTGAGTTAAGATAAAGAAATGATTGTTCAACCCTCAGCAGAGAGCAGAGGGGCCCGAGTGTATCAGGGACCTTGGTCTGTGGATGGAGGCCTCACTCATCATTTGGGGCAACACTGAGAGGGGATCAAGAGTGAAGATGACCATCTCCTAGAGCTGAGATCTGGGACTCTGGAATCCCTGGGGGATCCCGGTGGGCCCCGTTCCAAGAGGGAGACCTCCGGGAGTGGGAACAAAGACGTTCTCCACCCTGGCCTCTGCGCCTCAAGCTTTCATCTTGGAAAAACTCCAACTTTGGCAAAAAGAAGGTGAGTTGTAGGCTGCAGAATTACACCTTAAGCCTGGGGATGGCAGTGTAGACAGTGAAGGTGGGGCACCCTCCAGGAATGGAGAGATGATGATGTTCTGTTACAACGACAGCAGTAGAAATCACAATGACTGACACTTATTAATTACGGGCCAGGCTTTCTCCTATGGGCTCGACATGTGTTCACACTGTGGTTCCTCACAACAGCCCTGTAAGGGAGGCAGCATTATCCCCCTGTTTTGTGGAAAAGAAAACTGAGTCTCCGTGGTGTGCTGCTGGATCCCCCATCAGGGAGGAAGGCTTGTTCCCATGTCTGGGAGTGTGAAAGAGCTCCCTCTTCCCAGGTCATGCTTCTAGGGGGTATCCGCATCCAGTGGCTGATCAACAAGGGGTACAGACACAGGTGGGCTGTCACCCCAACGTGGGACGACTCTGAGGGGCCGCCCAGGTCCAGAGCACCCCTGCACTTGACTGAGGCCTTCATGGGGCCATACCACAACCCAGTGGCCCCTCCCGCCCAGTTCTGCTCCCTTCCCTTCCATGGCGTAGATCCTAAGCACCCCTGATAAACTGATAAACGTCCTGCAGACTACTCTTTGTCTGGGGTCCAGAGAGAAGGTCAGCCAGCTGTACGTGCTTTATTCTCAGGGTGGGTGGATGTGCTGTCTCCTGCCTGAAGGAACAGAGGCAGAGGGCAGCAGAGGGCTGGCCCAGGCGGGCTCACAGAATAGCCCGGTGTCTGCTGACACCACATTTGGCTTTCAGGGCAATGAGGGGTGCTTCCTACTCCATCAGGAAGCAATTTATGGGTGAACGTGGTGGCCAGCGCCCTGGCACCACTCTGTATTAGCTGCATGACGTTAACATCCAGGCTCCAGTTTCTCCATTGGTAGAATGGGGATGATAAAAATGCCCAGCTCTTAGGGTTTTAGGGGATTAAGTGAGATAGTCTTGGTCAACAGCAGATGTTGCCCTGGCCATAGTGACTGTTGGCTGTTATCAGGGTTTTGAAGGTGCCGGATGGTGGATGAGGCTGAGGGCACAGTGGGGTATGGGATAAACAAGCGCCTGCCTCACAGGAGACCCTGGCTCTAAGGAGGGACAGGGCAGCTACGCAGATCACCATATTAAAAGGGCTTAAGTGCTGAAATAAAGAACACGGAGTGTGCTCGGGGAATAAAGAAGGCTTCATGGGGGGTCCACAGGGCATGAGTCCAAGTTTCCCAAGCAGAGGGGTTCCCAGACCGTCGGAGTGTGCAGGCAGGAGGGGACGAAGATGCTGTGGAGTCTGGCCATGAGGATAGCACGGGCTGCCGGGGCGGCAGGGGGTGCGGCGTAAGGCTGCACACAGGATGGGGCTGCTGGGGAACCCTCTTCATTCCTAGGCAATGCTGAGCCCACGAGGGCACTGAGGAGGGGATGGCGGGACCCCTGGAGGCAGTGGAGGGACAGGACAGGCTAAGACTGGAGGCAGGGAGACAAGTTAGGAGGGAAGGAAGCTACTGGAATTTCTCAGAAGAAAGGCTTAGCCATTCCACAATAACCTTCTCAGACTTAGGAAAATACCAGAGACCCAGAAGCAGCTTACACATGAACCAGGGCAGGATGGTACGTAGGCGCGCGTGCACCCGGGCACATGCAGACACACACGCACACAACCACACAGGGCCTACAACAGGAAACAGCAATAAAGACCTTTCCACTGCAGAAACAACAGCTTCTGTGTACTCTGGGCCTGGCCCCAAAGAGCCCAGAGGTTTTTGTGTGTGTTTGTCTGTTTTTAAATAGAGAAGTTATATATTTAAAACATAGGCATTCTTTTCACGTAGGAGGTAGAGAGCAGGAAGATACAGTGAACTCTGTGCGGCTCATAAGTAAGAAGAAATTCAGAGCTAATGATGACGATGACACCAGTAATAGTAATACAACAATAGCTGTCATTCGCTGATTTCTGTGTGCCAGACATTGCATCTACATTGCTCATTATTGTTCCACTTTACAGCCGAGGAGACTGAGGCTTGGGGAAGTTAAGTGACATGGCCATAGTCACAGGACAAATTAGCGGCAGGGTGGCAAATTAGCACTCAGAGGCCCACCTTTAGGTCCAGCCCTCTGTACTCTCCGTCTTGCCTACAGCAACATGTCCCCACAGGAACCGCTCCCAGGCCAGTTTCCACCCAAAGGGAAAGAGAGCCAGCGGCAGGCAGAGGCGGAGCCCTGACTAACCCAGCATGGCAAATATTGACTCCTTGCCCCAGGCTCCAGCTGGTGCCCCCAGGGACCGTCACCTCCAGACTGCTGGGGTGGGGCGGTGCGGATGCTGGCTCCCCTCCAGGAAGGGAGATGCGTGGTTCAGGGAGAGAACCCCTGCTTCACCTGCATTCTGTCCATCACATCTGTGCTGCACGCATGCTGAGTGAGCATCCACCCACACTGCGCAGCCTGGGATCTGGGTCAGAAGCTACTAGCACGTTCCATGCATCATGGCAGCGTAAGCCCCTTGGAGAGGATGGGGGACTGTCTCCCACCCGTCTCTGCATGTTTGCCCTTGGGCTCTGGTGGAACGTCCTGCCCAAGACTTGTCCTGGATAAAGCTTTGACTCTTACTCACCACCTACTGACAAGACCCTCTCTGAATTGGGCCGGCCTCGGTGGAAGTCAGAGGACTGGTGGCAGAGTGCAGGCAGACTCCCAGGGCAGCTCCCTAGCACCAGCTTTCCTTGCTAGTCTCCCCCACCACCGAGCCACACCTCTGCCTGCCACCCCCATCCCTCCTCGCCACACTCACCCCCGGCCGTTTCCACACGAAGGGGATCTGGGGCCTCTCACTGTAGAAGAGAGAGGAGCTGTTGGCTGGGAAGTCTGCATCCTCAAACAGGGTGCCCTTCTGCAGGCTCTCCTGCCTTAGCTGCTCGAAGCTCTGGCCTGAGGAATGAGTGATACGGGCGTCCTTGGGAGTCGGGTGCTCCTGGGGCCCTGGGGCCGGATGGAGGTAAGGCATAGCTGCTCCCTGGCCGCCCAGCTGGCTCAGGTTGGCGATGGGTGGGAAGAAGTGAGATGTGTGTGCCAGTCAAGAAGGAACCAGCTCAGGGGCACCTGGGCTGAATGGCCCTTGCTCCCTACCTGTTTGCCTGGGAACCTCCCTGTTAGACTGAAATGGGGCACGCCCTGATGGCAAATTGTAGGGAGAGCCCTGGGCCCTGCCAGGAGCTCCTGCAGACTCAAAGAGAGCTGTGAGGCTGGGCCAATTCCGGGCAGAGGCAGCAGCCTCTGCTTAATGCACTGGGGGAGTCCCAGTGGGAGAGAGAGGATTGCTTTCTGGGGAAAGACAGCAAGATAGCAAACTGGTCCAGGAGGTGGCAGGCAGCGCTTGTTTTGCTGTGGGGAGAGAGCACTGTGTGATCTTAAATCAGAGAATTGCAGAGTTTTGCATCCAGCTGGAGTTTGGTGACTCTGATCCTTGGCATGAGCGAACACACAGAGAACATTCGATTCTTCTCCAGGGCCCACATGCCTCTCTTCTCCAACATTCCTGACAGCTGGTCTTGGGAAACATTTGCAAAAACAGACATCACATTAATAAAATTTCTTGCCCTGTAAAACTCTGCCAAGCGGGTACCACATTTGAGAAGAAATGAAGTCCAGAAAATGGAAGCATTTATTAAAACTGACAGCCACTGCGGGAAGCCCCTGGTTTTCTAAGCACTTTATGATGATTTCTTTGTGATTCTCTAACTAGCCAATGTTGGCTTTTGGAGTCAAGGGGTCTTGAGTTAATGGGTGCAGTTAAAAGCTTGTGATGTGAGTTTTTACATGACCTCCCAGTTCCCAGAAAAGTTCACTTAGTTCCACGCACTTTCTGTCCAGTGGATCTCGTGTATTGTTTTACAGAGAATGTGCAGACATCAGAGTCGGAGACATCCGGGTTGAACGCCCAGGTTTGCAGGGGGTGACCCTGGGTGGGGCCCGTCTGAGCCTGTTTTTGCAGTGCAAGTCAGGACAATGGGGCCTCCCAGGCTGCCATGGGGTTCTGGGAAAAACCAGCCTGTAGAGTCTGGCACGTGCAGTCAAGAGCTCCTGAGTCCTCCCATCCCTGTCCTGTCTGTCCCCTGTCCTGTCTGTCCAGTGCCCTTCTGAGGCTCATTTCCTGCCACTTATAAAGGCTCTCTTGTTATGTCTGTCCACACAATAAAGGATTCTGGAATGATTCTCTGCTAGAAATAGTGGAGCTGCCAGCATCCTGTGTCCCACTGCCCCGTCAGAAAGCTATGGAGACAGGTGGGACAATGTGAGGGCCATCCATCTCAGGTGACACTTGGGTCAGGGAAATGCCCACCAGCCCAGATTTCTGTGAATTTCTCCTTCAAACGCTCAAGCAACTGGGAAGTGAAATTCAACATTGTTGAGAGTCGTAAAGGGTTTACTTAATGCTGGACCCTCTCCAAGCTCCAGAAATTACTGTCCTTATTCCGTGCCCATCACAAACACCTCTCCGGACAGGAGTCCTGTCCTTCTACCTTGGTCTCTCCTTTGGACCGGAAGAATCAGTCTTTTTATTTAAAGTCTATTTTGGTCACTAGGTAATCAGAGAACTGCACTGTCATTTGTGACTAAAGCAAAAATGCCTCCAAGTTGGAAATACACTAAAAGTGTTCAGCAATTCTTTAGCCAACTGGTGTGCATCTTGCCTCCCTGCTCTCCAGGATTGTTGTCCAGTGCGGGAGACCAGGACTGCTGCTGGGTCCTGCCTGAGCGTGCCTGTCTGTCCCTGCAAAGGTCTGCAGGAAGGATGCTGTGCTCAGGTGGCACCACCTGTCAGCCTTCACGATCCCCTCTAAGTCCAGTCCCTTGGGAAGTGCCATGACCCCAGGGCAGGGCCCAGGGCGCTCTGTGCTGACCTTTCCTGCAGACCTTTTTGCCCTGGACTCAGGGCTGATCCTAGCGCCTCCATGCCCGACCCCAGCTCACCCCGGGGGAAGTAGAGGCCAGACACACATTTGCAGGATGCACGCTGAACCAAGGCCTCAGAAAAGCAGATACCATTCTTGAGGCTCTCAGTTTAATTTTCCAAACCTTTGCTTCTTCTCAGGATGCAAGATGGTTAGAGGAACTTCAGCCCACTGTTTGGAGGCCTGGCAGCCCCTCACACACGCTGGGAGACACTCTGAACACCTCAGAGTGCAAGGCCCATGAGTTTGCTCACAGGAACAGGGTGCTCTTCGTGTCATAAGCCCTGCCTGCTTGTCACCAGCCTAGAGGCATGGGTGACTTTGAGCCCTGCGAGTCCCACAGGGACCATTCATCATTTTAGCTGTAATTTCCTCCCCCTAGCCTAATAACCCACTAAAGTGAATTCTGAATTAATTGAGGCTTCCAGTCCTTTCTCTCTCTCTCCTCTGTACCCTTGGACCCACAGCGGAAACACTCTGTTTCTTTAGAGTAGGGGCCTGAGCAGGCCTGGGAGTGCTTGCCCGGCAGGGCAGGGAGATGCGAGGCTCTTGCCTGGGTGGGTCTGTGATGCCTCAGGGCAAAACCCAAGAATAAATTCTCTCAATCTTCGCCTGGTGTAGTGACTTTGTCCCAGGACTCAAGCGGGCTCGGACATTATGGCAGAGCAGACTCATCACCAGGTTTCGGCAGGTGTGCGAAACAGCCGTGACCCTCTCACGTGAAGGGTTCTGTTTTCCGCGCCTGCGCAAGGCGGATAATGCGCCTGCGCCCAGGCGGCGGATGATGGTTGCGCCCACCGCCTGCTGTGTGGAGAATGGGTTAGCAGGTGGAGGAAGATACCCGGGAAGGTGAGTCAGGAGGCCTGCGCAGGTGGTGAGAGGGCCCCGGGTGGTAGAAGAGAGGCGAGAAGAGAGGAAGCTCTTAGGAGAATTACTGCCGGGGCTTCCTGTCTGGGCGCTAGGATGTGGCTTTCTGCTCAGACCTGAGCAAATGAACGGATGAGGGGCAACCTGGAAGAAAAGTTCAACATTTTAAATATGTTGGGATGAAAATCCCCTCCTCATTGCTGGTGGGAGTGTAAACTAGTATCACCTTTTTGGAGAGCAGTTTATTAATATCCATCAAAATTACAAAAGCACAGACTCTCTCACCCAGTCATTTCCTTCTAGTAACATCCTGCAGATAAACCTGCACCCCAGAAAAGTGAAAGATGTACATACCTATTCATTTCATGGCACCATTGTTTACTTTGGAAAAAAAGGTGAAAAGCACTCAGTGCCCACTGTTAGGGAGAATGATCAAAAAATTACAGCACAGCTGGGGCCGGCCAGTGGGGCAGCGGTTAAGTGCGCAGGTTCCGCTTCTCTGTGGCCCGGGGTTCGCCTGTTTGGATCCCAGGTGCGGACATGGCACCACTTGGCAAGCCATGCTGTGGTAGGCATCCCACATGTAAAGTAGAGGAAGATGGGCATGGATGTTAGCTTAGGGCCAGTCTTCCTCAGCAAAAAGAGGGGGATTGGCAATAGTTAGCTCAGGGCTAATCTTCCTCAAAAAAAAAAAAAAATTATATATATATATATATATATATATATATATATATATAGCACAGCTAATTATGGAATGGAATAGCATGCAGGCACAGAACAGGAGGAGGAAACGCTAGACAAGGACATGGGAGGGCCCTGGGGCCCTGGAGTATGCTGTTCGATTGAAAGGTCAAGGTGCAGCGTGGTGTGCAGAGTATGCTATCATTTATGGAGAAAGGGGAAAAAATTGTATTTATAGCTGCATAAGAATCTTGGAAACTCCACAAGGAGTAGTAAGAAGGTTCCCTCTTCTGGGGGTGGATGGAGTCTATGAGGGACAGAGGTGGTGGGGAGACATCTCTATATGCCTTTTTATACTTTCTTCCTTGTAACCCTAAAGGCTTACCTGGTTGGATTTCTTTTTACGTTTGAGATGCCTGTGAAAGGGTGACGTCAAGCGTGTGGTCAGACAGTGGGACAGAGACGCAGAAAGGAGGCCTGGCCCATTGGATGCCCTGTCCTCCTCTCTGAGGTTCTGAGTCCCTCTGGATCCTGGGAAGGTTCATTCCCTCAGTGTGGCTCTCCTAGCCGCCTCCCTCATACCTGACCTCTGTGTCCCAGTGTCACTCACGGTGTGTTCGAAGGGGCTCTGCTCCCTCAGGGGTGAGAAATGACAGCTTCTGCAGAAGGTAGTGGGGACAGGGGGGCTCCAAATTCACACACTGCATCTCATGTGTGCAGAAATGGAATCCCCTCTCTTCTGGTACCTTCTTCCCTGTGGCCCCTGAGCCCTCAGACTGCCCAGAGCGCAGGTTATCCTGTCCCCTTTGCAGAGTGTTCAGTCCAGTTGCATAAGTTTTCGGTTTTAAGTATTATTGTCTCAGTCACTCCCAAGGCCAAAGCTGAATCCTCTTAGGGTGAACACCATCTTCAGTGTCTCTGCCACTTCCCCTTTCTCCATGGTAGCACATGGGCTCAGGCCTCTGGCCAGCCAGCCCCGCTCCACAGTAGCTGCAATCCTCCTGTGGTGCCAGGACCAGACCAGAGGTCCCCAAGTCTCCTGGCCTCTCCAGGATTGGGCTCCTCTCTCCGGCCCTAGAGGGCTTTCTTTCTAAGGTGGTGATGGCCCTTGTGTTATAAACTGTTATTGGTAATTTGGTAATTACCCTTGGTAATTTGCTTTATGATTAACTCTCCAGTTGCTCCTCCAAGCTTTGATCTGGACTTTTAAAAAGCCCATTTTGTGGGTTCTGAGGAGATGCTGTGCCCTGTCTTGAAGGGCCAACCTTCCAAAGTCTCACCATCGATGTTTAAAAGTCCAGCTTGAAGCTCAAAGTGAGCAAGGCCGTCTTCGTTCTGGGTGGGCTCTGCCTCCCTCTCCCTGTGTTTCACCCCCAGGAAGCCGGTGTCCTTGCAGAGGAGGTTCGGGAGTGGTGCCCTAGTGCCACCCCATTTCCTGGAAGGGGAGAGCTGGTGTTCCATCCACCACCTCCCAAGTTCACGTGGGCACCTGGGTACCAGGTGAGACCTCCTCTCCTTCCCCTGGGGCCTGTCCTTCCCTGGGGCACCCCGTGTTCCACCATCCCGCTGTCCACTCCTCCTCCCCGAGGGGAGCCCAGCTTCTCGTTGGTGGGAATGAGCTGTGCATAAGCACCACATCGGGGTGAGAGGGCTTCTCCAGGCACCCAGCCCAAATCTGCCCCTGCCCCCTACCCAGTCTTTGGCCTTAGTTGTCTGACCCCAGAGAGACTCCAACTTGGAGACACATGGACTCATGGACTACCTGCTGGTTCCCTTCCCATTTCCCAGGGCTGCTCAGGGTGCCCACGGCTTCTCTCATCCCCAGGCTTTTTTCCTGGCTTGACTGTGAAATATAGTTTCTTCCAAGGCCTAATCTCCCCAAATAAACTCTAGGCCACTGCCCTTCTGGCCTGTGGTCACACTGTTGGAATTGCTTTTGCATCCCTGAGAAGGGGTTTCACCCTTTAAAAACTCAGCGTGGAAGGCAGATAAATATCCCGGCTTCCCTCTGCTGACCCTGTGACACTTCTCTCCCTGCAGTGTCACCTCATGCCAGGATGATCTGCTGTCTCGTCCTCGTTAGGGGCAGTGGTGGATGCTGTGCACAGCTCCCTCCGGGTCTCTCTGACACTCAGTTGCCTGCCCGGCCCAGCTGGGCTCTCATCTCTGCAGCCTCTGCTGCGCCATCTCCTGCCTGCTCCGGGCAATGCCCTGGGAGAAAGGGCAACTCTTAATTCTCAGCCCCCACCCTCCTCTATGGTGGAAATTGTCATGTTTGGGCCTCCCGGCATGATCTGAACCTTGTTCTTCCAACTAGAGAGTTTCCCATTTTGTATGTCCACTACCCAGGGTTGGAAGCAGGACTCGTTCCCCATCTTCCTGGCTGCCCCGGCAACACGACTGTGGCTCTGCTCCTCAGGTGCCCTCGTGCAAGACTGACTCAGAGCGAGTGATGTGGAGAAGCGGGAGACAAGGAACTCATTTTGTGCGTCGTGTGTGCAAAGTGATGGTGGAGGCGTTATGTGGTGGAGGTCCTTATGGCAAGCTTCTGGGGTCCCCTCATTGGTATCCTGTGTGAGCTCTAGCATGCCGGCTGAGGAACAAGGTCTTTGCCATCGGCAGTGACAATGGCGTTTCTCTAAAGCAGCCTCATGAGGGGTCAAGTATCGTTTCTGGCTTTGTTCTTTCTGAGCCTGGATCTCTGGCTCCCCTTGAAACTGTCAGGTCCCTAATATCCTTTAGAAAATGGTTTTTCTGCTTAATCTAGCAACTGTTGTTTGTGACTAGACATCCTGACTTGCATGCTGCTCTGTCCCCTCCTGGAGCTGTGGGAACTCTTGGTTGATTTCCATGTGATATATAGAGGCTGAGGGACATGGAAACTGGGTGGGCTCGCAGGCCCCCCTCCGCCGGAGCAGCCTGCTGCTATTCTTGTCTAGGTCCCCTGCGCTCACGTGGGCTGCCCTGGGTAGCTGTCTCCCCTACAGATGCCAACAGGACCTGGAGCACAAGGCACTCTGTTGTCAGCGTCCCCTGCAAACACCTGGAGTTTGTCTATTGCTCTCCCTCTACAGGTTCGAGCAAGAGGATTGAGCGTGTGTGTCGGGGGTGAGGGGCGGTGGGTAATGACCCCACACATGGAACTGTGATCCTCATCTTCAGCTTTTCCCAACTCCCCCTGCCCCCGCCCCATCACCACAAGCGTTTCCAATTTCATGCATTCCTTCCCTCTGACTTTTGGATTTATAGAGGGCACTCAGTAACCTTCTTATGCTAGATTTGGCTTTAGACATGTAAAATATCAGTTTGGGGAATTTAGAGAAAATTCTTTTTCTCTCAACCAGTTCAGTGGATTTGCCTTCGGACTGTTACCTCACCGTGGACTTAAAAATCTATTTTGAAACTCAGTTCTGAACCCTTGGTTGGGTTCTGTCCTTCTAAAGTGATTACAAACATGGCCACAGATTCTCTGCAGCCACTCCAGTGGGAGGGGAGTCGTTTTCCCCTCTAAGTCTGGGCTGGCCTGGGAGTTGTTTGGATCAGGACAGTGCTGAAGAAGGGAGATGTCTGAGTCCCTGGCTCAGCTCTGGACACCTCGGAACTTCTGCTCTCGCCCTGAGAACCCTTCCGGCACTGTGTCCACAAGCCCTGACTGCCGTTCTGCTGGGAGAGGAACCACAGGGAGAGAGGCACCAGTCACCTCGGCTGTCAGGAGCCATCCAGCCCAGGCCCAGACATCTGGGCAAGCTCAGGTGGAACCATGCAGCCCCCCAGAACAGGACAGTCATCTGAGCCTGACGTCAAATGCCAACCACAGACTGGTGAGAAACAACCTGCTGTTGTTTAAAGCCCTTAAGTTGGAGGTGGTTTGTTATGTAGCAAAAGGTGACACACCTCCCATGAAACAGTGAGTATCTTGGAATTAAGGTGGCAGAGGGGATGGGTAATCTTGAGACGGTTAGGAACTAAGCGTGACTGGGTGTAAAAATACACCAGCTTAGGATTCAGTGTCTAAAAATATCCCTGATCCATATCATTTTCTAAATCAAATTATATTTGGCCTGAGTGGCCAGTCTCCAGGACTGATGAAAGATGTAAGTTCAGTTAGCTTCTGGAAGGGCTCTGCCCCTACCTAGGGTTGTACAAGCATTCCAAAGATGGACCCCCGAGGAGAGGGCGGTCGTTGGCATCCATGAGGCCTTCTTGCTTTGATGAGAAAGCAGCACGGGAAAGCTGGAGAGGCTCTCGCAACCCGTGGAATCCATTCCAATGGCTTTGTGAGGGTGTCAATTGCCCGGGACCCAATTCCTGCATTGAGTCTCCTGTCCCTGCTGTTAGTCCAGCCCGCTTCTCCCCTGGATTGCCCAAAGGAAACATGGGTTGGAAGGGGTCTGGGGGACTCCCTCCTTCCTTTCTAGAGATGCTGTAGGGGGTTTGCTCTGAGTCGGAAGGATCCTTCCACCCCAAGTCCAAGCAGGACCATGACAAGCACACTCTGATACACCAGAAGGAATATCCAGGCAGAACGTTAACTGTCCTGGATCTTCCCAAATCCAGAAGGCTTCATGATTACTCAGCCTGTCCCAGGGTCCTGGAAGGAGAGCCCAGCTGAGCTTTGAGGAGGGCTTTAGATTTACTGTAAAATCAAGCAAGACCCTTGGACCCCGATTTTATTTGGGACTCATACATCTAGGGAGATTGGAGTAAGGGGGACCTGAGGCTCCAGGAACCCCTTGGGCAGGGGCCTTTGCTGACAAGTCACATGGCTTTGGGCATGAATGATGCAGAGTGGGAAATACCTTGGAGCATCTTCCATCACGTAGGGGAAAGGACAGTCACAGGGAGCCACTGGAGGTGGTCTGCATGCCTGCCCTAGGGGCACCAGTCTCCAAATCCCCATCCACCCAGGATTTGTTTCTGCCCACTCAGCGGGCTCTAAGGAAGTCCGTTCTGTGAGAATCCTGCAGGGAAGATTCTCTGATTGTCATTCACAATCCTACTGGTTAAGCTGGATCAGGGATGACTAACTAGCAATGCTGGTAGGACTGTATATGGCCCCTACTCATTTTTCTAGGAAAAGAGTCCATATTTTTCACCAGATTCCTAAATGAGCTAATTTTCCCTTGAGCTAAAAAACTGCTTATCTCCAGTTTGGTTTCTAGTTCTAACATTTTTGTACTTTTTGATATTCGGTTACACAAAAGATAATCAGAACAGAGAAGATACTTTCTCTTCACATCTATCTTCGTGTTATCAACAATATTATCGTATGCTTGGTTATTTACTATTTTTGATTCCAGGGAACATTGATGAAGTCATTGGCTGCCCCCAGCAGTGGATTGATTCTCTGTGCCATCAGGCAACTGAGGGACTTTTCTTGTAGAGAAACCACATATGGAATCAAACGTACAGTTGCGATCTTCATCTGATTAAATTTGTCAAAATCTCCAGTCAGGCTCCATGACCCACTGGCTTTTATAGTAGCCAAGGAGGCTAGTGAAGTGAGCAATGGTAGGAATTTCCCACCATGCATCTCTCCAGGGTTTGACGAGATTGCTAACCTCCCCAGTCTCCCCCATGGGTGTTGTGTTGCCTGGGGTTTACGCTGAGGGAAGGGGCAGTGCCAAGAACTTCTATTTGGTCCCTTTCCCCTAATAATCTTCACTCCTTGGTTCAGGAAACCAAAATGGGAACTCCAGCAGCTGCTAACTATATCTATTCCCGTTATATATTCTGGAACCAGGGAAATAAGGACAGGATGGGTCCCTGGTCCCAGTGAACAAACTAAAATGTGGGCCAAAGCTCCTTCTATCCCCAGACCTCCAAAAGCTCCCACTCCAGCCAATGGGGCATGCAGCCCTTCTGATCATTAGAAATCAGCATATGTTCCAAACCAGTGTATAAAAGTCCCCAGAAAATGCATTTCCCTTTTACCAGGGTATGGTCACACTGGTAAGTGACTGCCACTTTGGGAACATTGGGGAGAGCTGAGGAGGAGAAGCATGGCGTACATCTCAGACAGGTCATTTCCCAAAGGGCTCCAGTATCCCCCTCAGTCTAGGGGCTTAGAGTCCAACACCTGATTAGAGCCTGGTACCCAGGGAAGAGACCATGACTCCTCACTGTAGCAACTATTGTATCTGGATTTTTCTTGAAGGCTGCCCAACAATTTCATTTCTAGGCACATATGATCATTATCCATCACTACATATTGCCGTGGGTCACATTCTCTAATTACCGTTCTGTCCTTGTGGCTTACTGTGTGAATCACACATACCTTGTCTCTGCTTGTTGAGCCGTCTGTTCCTCCAGCCTTCATGATCCCCTGCCATCATCTCCTGCAGCGAAGGACAGTGCCCCCACTGAGCTCATCAAGGATGCTAGTGCCTCCTACAGCAATGCCTTTTTGAATTCTTTCATGAAGGCTGTGAACTCTTCTCCCTCAAGCATGATTAGGGATGACTAAGCAGGTTGAATATCATTCATAGATCTGTGCCAACATTCCCATTTCCTGATGCCTCCTGACTCCTTCCTGCCCTCCTCAACAGTGTACCAGGGATATGCCAGGATTTTGACCATTTGGACCCAATGTAGGGTCCAGAACATCAACACCACTTGCAGGTGGTCAAGGCAATATTTTAAATCCCAAATACTGAGTGAGGACATTCATGTCAAGGAAATCAGTCTGGTCAAGACCTTCATCTTATCCCTTTGGTCCACCACTCTTAGAACTCATTCCCACCCACGCTGCCCAGGCTTTGCCAGCACAGATTGGCACGGTCCTGTAAGCTTTCGGTGTAGTCTCTCCCTTCCAGGAAGGTCCTTGGAGCTTTCTATTCTGGCTATTTTTAAATCTGTATGTAAACCTACCTCTATTTGGGGCTCCTGCCAAAACAGATCAGCAAAGTCAAGCAATTCTTTCATTGTCTAGAAGACCTGCTCCCTGAGTGAGGGGTGAACCTGGAGGGACAAACAGAAGTTATACAGCAAGCTAGCAACGGATTACAGAAAAAGCAAGAAAAATAATTTCAGAGCAGTAGATGTATGTACATTACCTTAATTACAGTGATGGTTTAGGGGTCCGTACATATCTCAAGACTCATGAAATTATACACTTTAAATCTACAGAGTTTTTTCTTACATAATTATACTTCAAAAAGCTGTAAAAAAAATTTAAAGACTAATACATTTTGGAATCCGAGCATTCTGTACTTATCAATAAGAAGTACTAAATAAACAACTCATTTTAAAAAAACACTACCAAGTCATATCCAGCAATTCTGTTTGGTCAGGAGAGTTGAACGCGGTAGAATACATTAACTAAGGTTCTTGAATTATAGGAAGCTAGACTTTATATAGTGAAGTCATATTTATTGTCGAATTTCCTTCTTGACATTTCCTTTTTTTATTAGTTTATACCTTGTGACCCCCTTCACCTATTTCACCCACCCTCCCAAACCCCTATATCCCACCTATGGCAACTACCAATATATTTCTGTATCTATGAGCTCAGTTTTTGTTTTTCACTTTTTTTAGTTTCCACCTACATGTGAGATCATGTGGTTTTTGTTTTTCTCTTTCTGACTTATTTCAATTAGCATAATGCCCTCAAAATCCATCTATCTTGTCGTTAATAGCAAGATTTCCTTCTTTTTAATGGCTGAATAATATTCCCTGTGGGGTGAATATATATTACACCATGTTTTCTTTATCTGTTCATCCACAGATGAACACTTAGGTTGTTTCCATGTCTTGGCTGTTGTGAATAATACTGCAGTGAACGTGGGGGTGCAGATATTTTTTCACATTAGAGTTTTTGTTTCCTTTGGCTAAATACCCAGAGAAGAATTACTGGATCATATGGTAGTTCTATTTTTAATTTTTTGAGGAACCTCCATACTGTTTTCCATAGTGGCTGCACCAATTTACATTCTCACAAACAGTGCACATGGGTTCCCTTTTCTCCACATTCTCACCAACACTCGTTATCTCTTGTCTTTTTGATGATAGCCATTCTAACAGGTGTGAGGTGATATCTCATTGTGATTTTGATTTGCCTTTCCCGGATGATCAGTGATGTTTAGCACCTGTTCATGTACCTGTTGGCCATTGTACATATTCTTTGGAAAAATGTCTATTCAGATCCTCTGCCCATTTTTAAATCAGATTGTTTTTGTGTTATTGAGTTGCATGAGTTTTTATACATTTTGGATATTAAGCCCTTATCAGATACGTAGTTTGCAAATATTTTCTTACATTTGGTACATTGCCTTTTCATTTTTTTGATGGTTTCCTTTGCTGTACAGAAGCTTTTTAGTTTGAAATAGTCCCACTTGTTTATTTTTGCTTTTGTTGCCTTTGCTTTTGTTGTCAAATTCAAAAAATCAGTGCCAAGACTGATGTCAAGGAGCTTACCATCTATGTTTTCTTCTAGGACTTTTATGGTTTCAGGGTCTTATGTTCAAGTCTTTAATCCATTTTGGGTTCATTTTTGTGTATGGTGTAAAATAGGAGTCCAATTTCTTTCTTTTGCATGTGGTTGTCCAGTTTTCCCAGCACCATTTATTGAAGAGACTGTCCTTTCTCCATTGTATAGTCTTGGCTCTTTAGTTGTAAATTAATTGACTGTATATGTGTAGATTTATTTCTGGGCTCTCTATTCTGTTCCATTGATGTATGTGCCTGTTTTTATGCCAATACCATACTGTTTTGATTACTATAGCTTTGTAATATAGCTTAGAATCAAGAAATGCGATGCCTCCAGCTTTATTCTTCTTTCTCAAGATTCCTTTGGCTATTCAGGGACCTTTGTGCTTCCATACAAATTTTAGGATTGTTTATTCTACTTCTGTGGAAAATGCCGTTGGAATTCTGATAGGGATTACACTGAGTCTGTAATTGCTTTGGGTAATAGGGACATTTTAACAATATCAATTCTTTGAATTCATGAGCATGAGATCTCTTTCCATTTATTTTTGTCGTCTTCAATTCCTTTCATAAGTGACTTATAGCTTTCAGTGTACAGGTCTTTCACCTCCTTGGTTAGATTTATTCTTAGGTATTTTATTCTTTTTGATGCAATTATAAATGGAATTGTTTTCTTAATTTCTCTTTTTGATAGTTTGTTTTTAGTGCATAGAAACACAACAGATTATAGATATTGATTTTGTATCCTGAAACGGTCCTGAATTTTACTAGTTCTAACAGGTTGTTTGTGGAGTCTTTGGGGTCTCTATATATAGTATCATGTCATCTGCAAATAGTGACAGTTTTACTTCTTCCTTTGTGATTTCTTTTCTTGCCTAATTGCTGAGGCTAAGACTTCCAATATTATGTTGAATAAAAATGGTGAGAATGGGCATCCTTGTCTTATTTCTGATCTTAGAGTAAAAGCTTTCAGCTTTTCCTCAGAATATGATGTTAGCTGTGGGCTTGTCATATGTGGGCTTGATTATGTTGAGGTTCTTTCCCTGTATGACCACTTGGTAGAGAAGATTTATCATATAGGGATGTTGGATTTTGTCAAATGCTTTTTCTTCCTCTGTTGGGATGATCATATGATTTTTATCCTTCATTTCGTTAAAGTAGTGCATTACGTTGATTGATTTGCAGATGTTGAGCCATCCTTCATACCTGGAAGAAATCCCGCTTGATTATGGTGTATGACCCTTTTCATGTGTTGTTGAATTTGGTTTGGTAATATTCTGTTGAGGATTTTTTGCAGCTATGTTCACCGGGATCCTTCTTGACATTCTTAAACTCTAAATTTAAAATGTCATCTCAACAAAAAATCACAGTTAAATGCAAATATATTCTGAAAGTCAGAAAGTCCTTAGAAGTAATTTACAATAAGACATAACAATTGAAAGGAAGAAAGATTCTAATGAACTTACTTTTCTTAAGAATTTTAGCTCTTCAGAAGAATTCTCATTAAGATAAATTTAAAAGGCAAGCTTTAGGATAAAATTAAGAACTTTTTTGGGCAATATATTTCAGTGTAACTGAAACTCATGTAATTTATGTGCAAGATAGTAAGGAATAATAAGCAGCCATTAAAATCATGTTTTCAAAAACATTTAATGACATAGATTAAGTGCTCCTATTAAGTGAAAAGGTAAGTGGGAATGTAGGATGACTGCACCTAATTTAGATGAAAGTGTACAGATATATTGAGTGATAGTTTTAAAATTTTCTAAACTGTTTTATTGTCATTATAATCAGAGTTCCACAAATACGCATTGTCATGATATACTATTTTGGTTAAACTGGACACACAGAGCTGTGATGTAGACGTCATTCCTCACACTTTCCCACTCCACCCCCTGTGCATCCTGGGAGGCAGCGACCTCGTCTCTACTTTCTGTCCTGGAACCCAGGGCCTGACTCAGGTGCTCAACTTCAGGTGTCCTGAAATACTGCCCTTGGAAGAGGCCTATTTTTTCATAGTGTGAAATGACAAGACACTGGTTTCCACTAGAAGGCATCCCCAAAATATGAATTTTACAGAATTTATTTTGAGATACCTGCAATTCTGTGAAGATGTCAAAGTTTGCATATGGCTTCTTTTGCTTACAGAACTGGAGACCCTGCAGCATTCCTGCCATTTCTCACGTGGCCACCAGAGGGCGGTGCGTGGCTGCTCATGACAATGACACAGCCCCACATAAGTCAACAGTTTACAAATTAATCCTCTTCAGAACGTGTTTTCTAAGCTTAGAGAATTTATTTAAGGATTATTTATTGGCTTTCCTTCTTCAATTTCTTTGGACTCTAATGAAAATTCCCTACAAATAACAACTATGCCCTGACTGGAAGATGTCCCTCACTACACACGCAGACCCAAAATTCTAAATGATGGGATGAAGGGGGGTCCTTACCTAAAATAATATTAAAAAATTAACCCAAAATGGATCAAAGACCTCAATTTAAGAGCTAAAACTACACAACTCATGGAAGAAAACATAGGCACAAATCTTCATGACCTTGGATTTAGCATCTGTTTCTCAAGGGTGACACCAAAATCAACCAAGGAAAAAACAGATATACCGGATAGATGGCCACCAACGTGATTGTCGTTCCGTGTGGCTCTTACTGTGCTCCAGGCACCAGGCAAGAATTGCACAGGCATTTCTCAACTAATTCTCCTGACAACACATTAAACCGCACCATTTACTTTCTCCCTTTTAAAGACGGGGTCACTGAGACTCAGAGCCTTGCCTGGGGCCGCCCAGCTGGAAGGAGGCTGAGCAGGGACTAGAACTGCGGTCTCTGTCTTTGGACTCTGCACCCACACTGCTCCCCCCTGGAGCTCAGGGGTCCAGAATTCCTCCAGATCCAATCCCCTAGGCCTTGAGACCTCACTGAGCTCAGGGGGCAGTGTCATCCCCTATGACTGGGGCTTGCCATGTTGGCTGGGATGGCCGGCCTGGGGCCCTGGGGGCTCTCCCTGTACCAAGACCCAATCCCTGGGCAGGAACCCTTCTGCTTAGTCCTTCCTGCTCTCTACTCTCCCTTGATCCCTGCTCAGTGGAGCTTCTCTCTCTTTCCCTGGGGAGAGCCCTGAGTTTCCTCCCTCTGAAGAACTGTGTGCTCTGACTGGGGGGCCCCATCTCTTGGCAGAGAAGAGAGAGGTTGCTGACTATGGCCTCCCCGCAGCCTCAGGTAAAGTGGACTCTCCCTGATCTCACTTTGAGGGAGGTGAGGCCTCCATCCTTCTCATTTGGGGTCTTTAGCAGGAAGCAGAGCCCCCTCCCTTACAAAACTGAACATGAGGGATACCGACACTGGGGGCTGGCAGGGGCAGGAGGTCACGACTGGAGGAACCTGAGGGGGTTTAGGGGCCTGCCCGGGGCTGAAGGCCTGGGTGAGGCTCTTCCCATCCTGCAGATTCCACGAGCACCTGCTGGGCTTTGTAAAGGTCTCTTGTGCTCACACAAACTCAAATGGTTCTGCTGTTGCAACTACAAACTTCATCTGGATGAGCACGTGCAAGGTCGTGTCTGTAACTCCCTGATCTGCCCTAGGAGGCTCCTTCCTGAGAAAGCAGCCCAGCTGGGGGGAGGGGAGTGGACAGAAAGCAGTGGCCTGGCCTGCCCCCTCCACTAGCCTGGAGGCAGGGCCCGGCTGCCTTACTTTGAAGCTGAGTTATGGAGCAGAAGGGGCTGGGGTAGCCTGGACCAGGGCCTGGGGTGTGTCATGGAAAGGGGCCTGGCTGGGGTGTCTTCCAGGACATAGAGCAGAGGATGCTGTGGGGGGAGATCCCTCGGGGGTGGGGGCTTGGGTGGGCCCTTCTCTGCTCTAGGGGTCACTCCCAGGTACCCTCATGGCCTCACTCCTGGCTTGTCCACCTCCCTCCTTCGGGTGTCACCTCCAGTGTCTTGGAGTCCCTACTCTCCCAAACAAGGCTCAAACTTCATAAAGACACTGGAGATATTGGAAACTGCAGCCAACACCTAAAAAGTGTATATAAATTGTTCCAGAAATTCTGCTTCTAAGGATCAGTGCTAAAAAAATAGAGATTTGTGGACACAGATGTACCCTCAGTACAATTATGAGAGTGAAAAATTGGAAATGGTCCAATTGTTCACAGCTGGGGCTGCTGAGTAAGTTGTGATGTGGGGACACTGAGAATGCACAAGGGGACAGGACTGACTGTGCATGTCCACCTGTGGGGACATCAGGCTATAGAAGAGCAGGGCCCTAGGATCCTGCCCACCACTCCCTCCCACACACACACACACACACACACACCATTGCAATTAAAGGGGAAGGGCTGGGAAGATGGTAACTACTTGTTATTTCTTGGTAGAAGGAGTGTATCTTTTTTCTTATTCATATTTAAGTCATTATTTTAGTAAATAAACATTATGTGTCTAAAATCTTAAAGTATATAATGTATTTTATTATATAATATATTAGTAATAAATGGAAACAATTTTTTATAATATGCACATTAAAAAAATTTAAGCATGGCCCATCCAGGAAAATAAAAGATTTTCACGGTGCCTCACTGCCCCAGACATTTCCCTTACGGTTTCCATCTCTTGCATCATATTTATAAAAGTGATCTCTATCCAAAGATAATTAATATATTTATGATTGGGGCTTCATTTTTACATAATCTTTGATCTATCATGGATTTTCCTTCTTAATAAAGAATTATTTTTATTAAAAACAAAAAAAAATTTCAAGCACTCTCCTCATACACTACGTAGCCAGATACAAATGGCCACACATTGTCTGATTCCACTTATATGAAAAATCCAGGAGAGGTAAATTCATAGACACAGAAAGGAGATGGGTGGTTGCCAGGACTGGGGCTCAGAGGAAGGACGGCTGACTGATTGACAGGGTTTCTCTATGACGAAAATGTCCCTGACCTAGAGAGTGGTCACGGCTGTGCAACGTTGTGAGTGTTCTTCATGCTGCTTAAATGTACAATTTAAAAGGATCAAATAGTTAAAATTTATTTTAGTCAATATTATAAGATGAAATATAGGAAACCGTTAAGTCTATGTAAGATGAAAACCAAAATTTTTAAAATGCAATAATAAGAGAGAGGAAGGAATTCTCTGGTGCTCCAGCTCAGGAGCTGAGACCAGTTGCTGCGATGACACAGGTGGTTGTTCCTGCTCTTGAACTTGAATGACAGCTGTCAAGCAGGCTTGAGTCTGCTCTGGCTCTGAATCTGGATCTGTGGCTCTGAGCTGCAGCGGGCACTGGAGTTGGAGCCCGTGTTAGCTCTTGAGGTGGTTCTGGATCCTGCTCTGGAGCTGGCGCTGTAGCTCCAAGAAGAGAAAATGCTATCAACACGACTGGCTTCCATGTCCCTTCCAAATAAAGGAAAGCTCTCATACCAATCAGTGAAGTCTCGGTCCGAGAACCACCCCCAGGAAGTCTTCCGAGGCTGCTCATTGCTCCTGGGCCCACCCCAGCCTCTGGAGGCTCTGCTCTGTGGGGCCAGTCCCATTATCACCACACACACACACCACCCACCCCAAGTCCTCCTCACCCTCAGTCTCTGCCTCAGTGGACGCATGGTGCTTGAGCTGTGCCAAGAGAAGGTTGGCCTGGCACTCCAGGTCCCGAGCCTGCATGTTGAGCCCCATGTAGGGCAACAAAATCTTCAGGTGGGGAGATTCTGGGGCCTGAAAAAACCCTCAGAGTACTGGTCCAGCCAGGTGCCCAGAATGGAAGAAATGGTCCTGAGGACAGACAGGTGGGCAGCAGGGTCAGAGGACTGGCCTTCCCTTCTGCACTGCCCTCCCAGGGCTCCCCTGTGGGGCCTGGGTTCCTGTCCCTCCAGCTCCTAGCTGTCCAGAGGCTAGTCCTTATCTTTGTCCACCTCCAGTCTGGCTGTCCTGGCAGAGACAGGCCTGGTCACCAAGGAGGGGCTGGCAAAAAGCCTTCATAAGTGACAGCCCTTGATCAGTGGTGCATGGCCTCTTCTCTTCCTCAGGGAAGCCTGACACACTCCTCTGTCTGTCTTTTGCCCCTTTCCCACTGGAATGTCACCTCCATGTGGGCAGGAAGTGGTGGAGTCTGCTCTGTTCCTTGAACTCACTGGCGCATCGTAGGTGCTCCATGAGCATCTGACCAATGAGGGAACAATGGGCTCTCTTGCCAGGCTTCCGGGGGCCCTCCTAACACCTCAAACTTTAGCTCCTGTGCCTACATGCTGCCTGATTTGCTAGGTGCCTCATGCGGGTCTCCTCCTCCCACTGACACTAATCTCTAACAGTGGGGTCCAGCGGGTTCCTGAGCCCTCACTGAGTGCCCTGAGCACCAGCTGAGCACCACTGTTGAAGTTCTACCAGATTAGTGAGCAGGGTACTTCCCACACCCCCTGTTCTAGATCCCAGGAAGGGGGTGGAGCAGGGCTGGGATGGGGAGGGGACAGACATGGATGGAGTCTCCTGAGGGCTGCCCCCACTCTCCCACAGCAGTTATGAAAGTTATGACAGCTTTCTTGTTTTCTACAAGAAGCCCTCAGACCTCTGCCTCTCCGCAGGAATCACAGGATGTGTGGGATGCTGGATGCTGCCAGCACCCGGATTCACAGGCCCTCTCTCCTCTCTCAGTTCTGTGGAGAGAGGAGGCCCTCCTACTTGATCAAAGCCCACCCACGTTTTCAGTTGGTTCAGGGGTCCATCATCCTCATCAGAATAAAGGAGGATGCACCCATGTTTGGAGGAGGCCAGCAGGGCGTTGCATGGGCTGTTCTGTGGACAAGACCTGTCTGTGAAGTCTAGGCTGACTGTCTGACTCTCAGCTAGAAGGGAGTCCTGGAGGGCACGGTTGTTGTCTGCTCGGTGCATTGGATTACGGTCAGTGCCTAGAAAAGTGCCTGCACCTAGTGGGGCTACCTGCATGTTTAATAAATGAAGGAGCCCCGTCACAGATGTCTGGGTGGGCCTTGGCTCCCTGCTCACCCCCGGGGATCCCTGCTCTGGCTTCGCCAGGACAGGACCCCTCTAGTTGGAATCTCAAATCTCCTTTTCAAATGAGAAAACAGCTCAGCCCAAGGCCACAAGGACAGTGAAGGATGAGGTAGAGGCTTCACCATGGGGAAGAGGAAAATGACCAATTAGCACAACCACAGCCCCCCAGCAGACCCGCCCACAGGGCCAGGCACCCAGAAGGCACTTTGCCTGCAGGACCCCACTCAGTCCTGAAAATAACCCTGTGAGGTTGATCCGCTATTCACCTGTCTGTGCAGAGGAGTGAACTGAGGCTCAGAGAGGTGTAGTGACATTCTGAAGAGTTACAGCTAGTAGGTGGCTGAGCCACCACTGTGCTGTGGAGCGGCAGGGCACTCACCTTTTAAACAGCAGGACCAGTACCTGTCGGGTGGTGGCAAAAGCTCTGCAGGTGCCCAGAAGGGTGGGGACGTAGGTGGGGCTGCTGCCCAGGAAGGCGGGCACCAGGTGCTCCAGTAGCTTCTGCAGCATCCCTGCCTGGACGGTCCACACCATGCAGGCCTCATTCCTGTTCTCTGTCAATGCACTTCCACCCTGGGGTGGGACAGAGGAGGGACATGCAGTCAGAGCAGCACTGTAGACACCAGGAGGGCTGGGGCTGGAGCTCAGACCAAACCCCCAAGCCCTCAGTGACCTGTGGCAGGAGGTGGGTCAGGAGTGCCCGCAGGAGGAAAAAGGCACTTGGCATTAAAAGTAGGATTTGAGGTAGGGAGGGAATAAACACGTTGGCATTTCAGGTTGGTTTGTCAGCTGAGTATCAACAGCACCTCCCTGTGTTAACTACATCCATGTGAGTCCTGACAAACACCCCACTGTAGAGGCGAGAACGCAGAGCTTTTCCTGGACTGGGAAGGGTCAGGACAGGAGGACACGCAGGGTGGTCAGTGTAGCACTGATGAAATGGCAACAGGAGGTCCCACATCAGTGGGGGGGCTGAATCGCTGTGGCGACCGCTCTCCCTACTGGAATGTTCTGCAGCCCAGGGAGGCCCAAGGCCCTGACCCAGAGGGGCTATGGGGGTATATCCTTAGGGCAGCAAATTGCAGAGTGACAGGCTTAGTACCTTGAGCCCATGTCCTTTTGGGTGAAAGCATTGTTATGAATCATGAGGATGTGTAAGACCTGGAGAAGGTGTGGAAGGACGGTCAGGCCAATGTGGACACCTGGGGACAGGAGTTAGAACTGGAAATCTGTAGAAAGATGCAAAAATACTCTTGACTGGACACGAGGTGAAATGGTATAAAGCCTCTTTTCTGATGTTCTGATAAGTGTATGGACAGTGACTTTGTGTCTGGCCAAGGCAGCGGCTGGGCAGTGAGGGTGGCTTGGGGGAGGAGACAAGGACTCAGATTTTGGGGAGAGCAGGACTCTTGGAGGGAGCCCAGGGGAGTATCAGGGCGTTTGGGATTGGGGCCCTCTTTGGCTGAATGGGGCCCTGGGTATTGCATCTGCATTCACCTGAGCCGGTGGTGGACTCTGTTGGTGGCGTGGGGCATCTTCCTCTCCTCAGGGAGAAGGAGTGGAGCACCCTGCTGATCCACACCTGTCTGGCCTCCCATGTGGTGCTCTGTAGACAGTGCCCGGAAGCCAAGTGGGAGCCTCAGTGTCTTTGCCACCTCTCACACCCGTGTGACTCTCCCCTCCACACACACAGCACAGTCTGTACAAACCTCCACCAAGGAGGGAAAAGAGATGAAAGCCTGAGGGCCTTGCATTATCATGGCACAGATAAGGGGCACCTCAGGAATCCCCTTTCCATGGCTCCCTCCACCCTGGGTGTGATGTGGAGAGGGGTGCCCTCAGGGGGTCCCCTGACCTGGACTCCTCCTCAGACAACAACTTACCAAATGCCCATCTAGACTGCCGACTGCCCCCCCTCACCCCCAGGCCATCTCCATATCTGTACACAGTTACACCAGCACAGGTCTTTCCAGGCCCCCTAAGAAAGCCTGGGGGCAGCCAGGGCCCCACTTTGAGGATGCAGAGCTGGGTTCATACCTGGCTCCACCTTCTCACTAGTGTGTGATTCTGGGCAAAGCCCTGAACCTCTCGGGCCTTCACCTTCTCCCCTAGTGGCTCCCTGTGATCCCACCTTCTGGGGGACACATCCTTGTGTCATCCCCTCCCCATGAGTGTGGACTGGACTTTGTGACTCACTTCTATTCCACAGAAGATGCAAAGTGACCCAGTGCCGCTTCTTCCAAGACTTGGTTATAGACAGTCACTGCCTGGCCGCTGCTCCCTCTGCCCTGGTTCTCTCTCTCTCCCTCAGATCCCTCGCTCTGGGGAACAAGCCTCTGTGTTATGGGTGGAGATGGAGAGAGGCCCACGTGGCCTTGCACTGAGGGAGACTGACAGACAGAGAGGGGCTCAGGCCTTCAGTCCAAACAGAACCCCGTTAATAGCCCCTGAGTGAGTCAGACCCTGAGTGAAGCAGGGCCTGCCTCAGGTGAGACCCCAGCCCCAGCTTCCTGAGAGACCCCGGCAGAAGCACCAGTTGAGCGCTGCTGGACTCCTGGTCCACTGACACTGTAAGATTATAAATGTCTGTGGTTAAGCTGCTAAGTTTGGGGAAATGTTACACCGCAGTAGCAATAGATCACTAATACTGTCATCCTGCCTGAGGCCCTGGCCCTGCCCCTCCCTCCTCCCTCCTCCCCTACTGTCCTCCCAAGCTCCCTCCAGCCACACTGGCCTCCAGTCTAACCTCCTCTCTGGCCAAACTCACTTCTGCCTCCAAGCGTCTGCTGTGTTGGGCCTTCTGCCAGGCAACTCTCCCCGGGTTTGTGCAGGGCTGGCTCCTCCTTGTCCTGCTGCTGGAAATACAAATGTCACCCCCATGCAGGCTTGCCAGACCCCTCACCTAGTGGAGCCCAGCACTCCACTGTAGCGCCTGCTGTTTTTCCACATAGCAATTGCTTTTTTATTTACATGTTTTTGTTTTCGTGGTTTTGTCCACTTTCCCCTCCAGACTGAGCTCCTGGAGGGCAGGGACCTTGTTGGGTTTTCCAGCTCTGGGACTATTTGAGTGCTCACGGTGCAGTTGCTGAATGAGTAGATAAGAGGCTCCATGCCGCCACTGACCAGCTTGATTGTTAGAGCCAAATTCACTTTGGTCGTTTTAAATGTACTAGACTGATAACTATTTAAGTTAGTCCTGTGATTTAAACCTTTCATGGATATATTAGGTTTTGCTGACTTACCAAATAACTCCCCAAATTTCAGCAGCACATCACTATATATTGTCCCACATTACAGTGCAGGTGGGTGTTCCTTTTGGAGAGACATATTCCTTCACATGGTCCTTCAGGAACCCACAGTTCTTCCCCCGTTTGCCTTCTCCATCCCTAGGACATCATCCACATCTGCATCCATCAGCATCAGGGGAAAGGACATGAAGAAATGCACATGAGAGGACTTTATCAGCCAGGTCTAGAACGGCGCACGTCAGTTCCTTTCCTCTTCCCTAGGCAAAGACATGGTCATATGGCCCCAAGGGAGGCTGGATAATGGAGTTCAGCTGTGCGCTCCAAGGAGCAGAGAATGGATTTTGATGGACAATTAAATTTCTCTGCGACAATCAGTAGCTCATTTAGATTTATTGTGTTTTTCAAATCTTTGCTAAACTTTTACCATATGCCAAGCACTGGGCTAAGGGCTTGATGGAGAATTGACTGAGCAGCACCTTGGCCCAATCTAAAAAAGGAGATGAAACATGGTACGAAGCACCTGCCATCCTAAGAGGAAAAAAGAGAAAAAAGGGAAAGTACTCTGGAAGTTCAGGGAATAATTCTAGATTTGGAAGCTGCCTGGACATGCTATCTCTTGAACTCCACTTTGAGACACAATCAAGGTGTGGTTGATGGAGGAAGATGGCAGCAGGAACCACAGAAGCAGTTAACTGCGTACAAGATGTGATAAGGAATGCTATGCAGCCATTGAAATCACATATTCAACAATATTAAAAGGCAGGAATAATTATTGATACTAAATGAAAAGTGAGTAGAAATATAGGGTGATCCGATTTTTGGACTAACTCTATATCTAAATTTAGATGGAAGGAACAAATGTGTTGAGTGATAGTTTTCCAATTTCCTAAAATGTTTGATTGTTTAATCAGAAGGTTTGCATACATACGCTTTGTGGTGATACACTGTTTTCTTCAACCAGACATAAGGTGCTGCAATGTAGACCGCTGATCCCCACACTTTCCCACCCCACCCCCTGCGGGTCCTGAGAGGCAGCGATCTTGTCTCTGTTTTCTGCTCTGGAACCCAGGGCCTGACTCAGGCTCTCAGTAATACTCCGTGAAACACTACACGTGGGGAGAGGCCTATTTTTTCATAATGTCAAGTAAAAAGACAATGACTTCTACTAGAAGGCACCCCCAAAACATTGAATCTTACAGAATTTGTTTCGGTCTAACTGCAATCCTATGAATATGTCTAAGTGTCAAGGTGCCTTCTTTTGCTGACAGAACCAGGAAGCCCTGCAGCACTCCTGCCATTTCACACGTGGCCATCAGAGGGCAGTGAGTGGCTGCTCATGACAATGACATGGCCCCACTTCAACAGTTTTACTACAAGAGTCAATCTTCTTCAGAACAAGTTTTATAACATTAGAGAGTTTCTTTAAGGAATATTTATTTGCTTTCCTCTTCAATTTCCTTTGGAAGCTAATGAAAATCCCCTACAAGTAAAAAAAATAAGGTAATCCACTGACTGGAAGACGTTCCTTGTGACACAGACACGTAAAATTATGTGTCCCCCTCCACCCCTCCCTCCATCACCCATCCATCTATAGACATCCATCTTTGTAAAACACCTTTTGGCCTTGGATGAAATGTGTTAGATTTTCAATCATGTTGCCTATTCTTTGAGATACGCTATGAATCTCTGGGTAGTGAGTGGTCTGCTCATCACATGGTGGAAAATGCACTGAAATCCTAGGAGACTTGATGAAGGTAATGGGCACCAGATCATGGGAAGTATTTAAAGAGAAATCCTTCTAGATCTGCTGAGAGATATCCTCGGCACAGGAGCTTAGGAGAAAAAGCATGAAGTCTTCTTTCCCTGGGGAAAAGGACTCAAATTTTTAATATACTAAAAGACAGACAGGATCATAAGAATGAAAGATGGTTATAATGATAAAAAGTGACAGAGATAAGGTAATGATTCAAATTACTTACCACTCTGCCTAAAACAGTTTATCACTGCATTACTTTGAAGTCATTCCTTGGGAATCCAAGAGGTGAGCTTGAACATGCTCTGCTATATATCAGAGGCCACAAGGCCGATTAAAGCCAGATAAAAAGTGAGAAACACCAATGCCTTCCCAATGACTCCCATTGCATCCATCTGTCACAGAAAAACAGGAAACAAACCCTGCAGGGCAATGCCCTGCTGCCTGCCCAGGGCCCAACAGGCTTATAGCACCATAGGAGTTGTGTGGAGGAGGTGGCGGGGCACAAGTCTAGGCTCTCTCCCACTACATCCAAGGAATCTCCAGGACCCCTGCCCACTCAGATACAGCGGGCAATGCAGGAGATCAGGCTGTTGAAGGACATGTGGTCTGGGGCATTGGGGCATCGCAGCATCAGGGTGTCAGGGCCCAGGGTCAGTGGTCCTCTGAGTCCCCTCTGCGCAGAGGAGCCACCCAACCGGGACTACAGCCACCGCCGCTGCCCTAGCCTGGTCCCAACTTGCCAAAACACTACTGGAGCCATCACCGCAAGCAGAGGAAATTGGAAGAACCACGCCACCCTTCCTCTGGGGCCACTTTTGCCCCAAGAATGTGCAGAAAGACCAAGAACCCGTGCCCATGAAGACCTCGCGGGGACCCTGGACAGCTCCTGAATGAGGGACCTGAGAAATACAGAGACAGACAAAGAAATTGAGAGGATCCAAGAACAGACCTAGACAGACACCCAGTGGACACAGAGAGACACTGATATTGACATACAGAAGCTCAGCACAAGAGACCACCACCTCACATGAGGGCGGGGTGCAGCAGCTGAGCTGAGCAAGAAAAAGGGGCCCTGGGGCTGGCGATCAACCCTGAGGGCCAAAAACATGCAGACAGGGAGTCTAGAGACCAGGGAAACTAAGAAAAATACACCATGACATGGACACTGAGGAACAATAGACAGGCACCAAAACTCTCTCTCTCTGTTTGTGTTAGCGAGCATGTGCATGTGTCTGTGAATGTCATTGTTTATCTCAATGCTCCGTCATTCTCGGTCTTTTCCTCCTTCTGAGGGGCAACCTTGGAATGTGTGGGATGACAGAAGGACAAGGCAGAAAAGTCAGGACCAAGAACAGGACGCTAGAAAGCAGCTCCATCTACCAGACATCGACAAGGCCTTCCCGATGACAGCACAGGCCTCATTCTGTTCAAGTGCAGGTGGACACATTGCCCAGGATACCCCAGTCCGATAGGTGACAAATGAACTTGCCTTCATTGTACCAAAAGACCTCACAGGAGAAAGGATCATGAACAAGCAAACCTTGAAGTGACAGGGAAGAAAAGTCAGACAAAACGCCGAGCCAGCGGGGGCGAAATTGAGGGTCAGCAACTGGCTCTGGGTTGGCAGGAGGGGAAACGGGGCCGGCAGGAGAAGCGAACCGTGAAGAGACTCCCTCCCAGGACGACGATGGCTGAACGGGGAGAGGAGGGAGCTTTGGGTCCTCTCTCGTCCTGCTTTGACCGGGATGTCCCCATTTTTCCACAGCGAGCGAGTATGGCTCTTGGATTCGGTGGGGAAGACGTGGTTTATCTGGAGGACTTTTCCCTTCGGGGGTTCAAAGTCCGTTCTCTGAGGCAAGGCTCCCTCTCTGCCTCCCTGTCCTTCCCATTCACCTCCCCGGAAGCCAGCTCTCCTCCCGGTTTCCTGGATCCCTTGGCCACGGTCCTCTGTTGCAAACACAGGCAGGTGCAAAGAAGATGCGAAAGGCTGCCCGAGCCACGCGAACGGAAAGCTGAAGCCAGGGAGCCAGGAAGGGCTGGCTGCTGAGGGAGGACGTGTCCTGTCAGGAGGCTTTTCAACTCCCTCTGACAGATGCGGCCTGGAGGGGCGGGGCCCGGCCGGGGCCCTGGGGTGGTAGGGGTCGGGTGTGAGGGGGTGGGTGGGGAGGCGGGGGGAGGCGGGAAGAGAGGGAGGCCCCCGAGTGAGGGGACACCAAAAGCCTCAGCCATCAAGACTCCTCATCTTTGCATCCAGCGTTCTCAAACTCAAAACGAACGCAAGCTCATCCACCAGGAGCAACGTAGCAGCGTTTCCAAGCGAGGCAGGACCGCCCGAAGGCGAAAGCAGAATGGGATCCTAGTCAGGTGGAGCTTGAAACTCAGACCCACCCAGCCCCTACCCCCCCCACCACCTCCCCCCCTCCCCCCCACCCCGGGAAGGGGGCTTCTGGAAGGAAAAGCGAGACAAACTGACAGGGACAAACTTAGGTCGGGAAAGGAGTGTTGATTGTGAATGAGCCTCTCAAGGACAAGCGAGCGGGTACCAGGTTTTAGAAGATGACCTGCAGCGGCACAGACGCCAGCAAAGGCAGAAGCCATCCCGTCTTGGGTGAGGTGCCCGAGACGCGCCTCTCTAACCCAGTCCGCCCTGTCCTTGGAGAAGCGGGCGGTGTCTGGAAAAGCCTGACCAGGTGTCTTTCCTCGGTGGGCGGGGCTGGTCGCTTTGGGACCCGTTTGGGCCTCCCGGCACCGCCGTGGAATCCGTTCCACCTGACAGGACGACTCTACCCGGCGGCTGGGGCGGCGGGGGCGGGGCGCCGAGGGAAGGGCTGGGGTGTCACCGGAGCGGGAGCCGAGCGGGTGGGAAGAGGCCGAGGCCAGAGGGAGCCGGCGGGCGGCGTGTGCGGCGTCGGGGTCCCGGTCCCGGTCCCGGTCCCGGTCCCGCCGGGCTGGCCCCGATTGGCCCTGGGTTCGGGTGGGGCCGCGAGCTGGAAGGGTTGGGCTGTGGCGGGGAGGGGTTGGGCCCTGCCCATGGGCGGCGCCGGCGGGCCCGCGGTGCGGAGGGTGGCGGGGGGGTGGGGAGGGCTGGCTGGAGGGGTGGGGGGCGTCCGCGGAGGACGGAGGCCGGAGGCGGCAAAAGGCGAGGGAGGCAAAAGCCTACAGCACCCGGTATTCCCAGGCGGTCTCCCATCCAAGTACTAACCAGGCCCGACCCTGCTTAGCTTCCGAGATCAGACGAGATCGGGCGCGTTCAGGGTGGTATGGCCGTAGACGCTGGCGCCTGCCGCCGGCGCCCCTAAGAAGCCGCGCCGCGTCGCCCGGCCCGCGGCTCGCGCGCGCGCCCAGGCCTCTGTGACGCGCACCCGCCGCCGCCGGCGCCCCCTGCGCCCGCGCTCGGCCTGCCGCCTTCCTCCCGCTGCTGCCTCCCGCCGCGGCCGCCTCGGGCGCGGCCAGCGGGCCAGCCAAACCCTGCGCTGCCCCGCCCTGCTGCCCTCCCAGGGCGCGGAGGCCTGGAGCAGCCCGGGGTGCGAGGAGGCGGGGCGGGGCGGGCGGCGGTGGGAAACGAGGGGTGGTGGGGGCGGGGATGGGGGCGGGGCGCCTGGCTGGGCGCTCTCCCCTCGCGGCCCGGGAACACTCCAGGCCGCCCTGGCCGCTCGGATCCGGCGATGGGTCGCAGGAGATGCGGCTGCTGGGAGGTGGGGGGCGCGGGGCACTTGGCCCGAGGCGTCGGGGCGTCGGGCCGCCGGGCCCGTGCTCCTCTGAGTCCCCTCCGGCCCGAGGGGCCTCCCAGCGGGAGCCCTGACCTCTGCGGCGCCGGCCGGGCCCCGACTTGCCCAAACCCAGGCGGAGCCACCGGCGCGACCAGAGGGCGTCAGCGGAAGCCCGCCGCGCTGCCCCTGAGGGCGCGGGGAGGCGGGGCGGCCACCCTTCCCCCGCCAGCGCCGCCCAGGAGACCGGCACCCCGCCCCCAACCCGCCCCTCGCGGGGACCCTGGACAGCTCCTGCTGGCGCCAGCCCAGAGACCCAGAGACAGAGACAGAGACAGAGACACGGAGAAACAGAGAAACGGCGACACGGAGAGGATCCAAGACACGGACCTAGACAGACACCCACCCTGACCCAGAGAGGCTCTGCCCAAGAGCTCGCTTCCCCCCCAGGAGGGCGGTGGTGCTGGAGCTGGGCCCGGGCCAGGAGGCAGGGGCCCCGGGGCTGGCGATCACCCCTGGGGCCCTAGGCCGCGCAGACAGGCTCTCAGGAGTCCCGGGCTCCCGGCATCGCTGCCCCGCCATCGCCCAGGAACCACAGACAGGCACCGGAGCTCGCTGGCGCGCTCTGTCTGCGCTTGCGTGTGCGTGTGCGTGTTGTGCGAGTGGGTGTGTAGGCGTGTGTGTGTGTGTGTGTGTGTGTGCGCGCACGCGCGCGCGCGCGCCTGTGTGTCTGTGTGCCTGTGTGTGTGCGCGTCCGGGTTTGCGTGTTCCTTTCTCTCCGCTTCTTCACTCTGGCTCTTTTCCTCTTTCTGCCGGGCACCCCCGACCTTACTGAGGTGATAGAAGGAGCAGGCAGAAAAGTCAGGGCCCAGAGAACTTGGCACGAGAAAGCAGCTCCATCTACCAGACATGTAGAAGCCCCTCCCCGACGACCGACCGCAGCGTCCCCGTTCTGCTCAAGTGCCGCTGGGGACGTTGCCCGGGATCTCCCGCCCGCTAGGTCACCGACGAAGGCGCCTCCGTTTTCCCAAGAGCGCGCTCGCGCCCAGGACGGAGGGAGGAGCAGCACGGTGTGACGACGGGGAGGAAGAGTCGCGTCCGAAGGCCCGTCGGTGCCTGCCGACGTCCCGGCTCTCCCTGTCTCGAGACCTCTCGGCTTCAGGGTCGTGTGCCGCAGGGCTTTCCCCACCGGACCCCGTTGTATCGCTGGCCTGATGCTGTTCTTCCCATGTGCAGTGTTTGGGCCCTGGGGCCCTCCCTCAGTCCCACTGGGAAGGTCACCTTGTGACAGAGATTTGATGGGGAGGGGGACACCTCTGGCAGTGATAGCTGTCCTGTACCATGGGGCCATGGAAGTCCTTTGTTACCCTTGCCTTCTCCCCTCACATTTCACAGAAGACCTCTGGCTTTCTGGTAGGTTTAGTAGCGGGACCTAAGACTAGGCAGTCTCACACCCATCTCCTGATAGCCTCATGCCCCCTGCCTTTTTGCTGGACTCAGCAGTGGGTTTCAGTATATCGTACTGCTTGTGGTCATGTTGCCCAGCGTTGGGAGCATCTCCTCGTCGTCACATCGGTGTGTCAGCGCCCAGTGCTGGCGCTTCTCTTTGTACCCTTTCTACCCAGGAGCCTGCCAACCAGAGATTTGTCTGCTTCCACCGCCAAGGCCTGGCTCAGAGTCGCTGAAACCCACACGGAGCCACAAGTGTCCCCAGAGGGTTCCTCATGACATTGGAGTTGACATTTATTTCTGGAATATCATCCCAAAAGAATAGGCAATAAAAGAAAAATAATTATGCTAGACTTGATCACGTTTCAAAACTTTTATTTTGTGGACAAACTTTGAGCATTAAATAACGCTGTGAACATAGTGAAGAGACAACCCATGAAATGACAGAAAATTTTTACGCATCATATATATGATAAGGGATTAATATCCAGATGACATGAAGAACAGCTACAATTTAACACGAAAAAAATTAACCACACTATTCAAAAGTGTGGAAAGGGCTTAAATAGAAATTTCTCCCAGTAGGATTATCAGATCACCAATAAGTAGGTGAAAAGAGGCTTAACATTAGTAAGCACTAGGGAAATGCAAGTCAAAACCGCAGTTAGATACCCCTCATACCCCTTAAAATGGCTATTATCAAAACCACATAAAATAACAATGTTGGTTAGGATCTGGAGAATTCAGAACACTTGTGCATTGCTGGTGGAAATGTAAAATGTTACAGCCACTGTGGAAAATAGTACGGCAATTTCTCAAAAAATTAAACATCCAATTGTCATATGATCCCGCCATTCTACTTATGGGTACACACCAAAAAATAAAAATAAAAGCAGTGACTTAAACATATACTTTACAGCAACATTTATTTTACACCAATGTTCATGGCAGCATTATTCACTATAGGCAAAAGTTGGAAATAACCCAAGGCTTCATCAGTGGATAAATGGATAAACAAAATGTGCTACATACAATGGAATATTATTCAGCCTTAAAAAGAAATCAAATTAGAAATCATATAATACGGATGAAACATGTACAACTTTATGCCAAGTGAAATAAACCAGACAGAAAAGGACAAATATTGTATGATTCACATATACAAGCTACCTAGAGTAGTCAAATTCATGATGACAAAAAATAAATTGGTGGCTGCAGATAGCAGGGAATGGAGAATTAATGTTTCATGGGCACAGAGTTTCAGTTTGGGAAGATGAGAAAGTTCTGGAGATGGAAAGTGTGACAGTAGCAAAACATTATGATGTACTTAATGCTGCTGAACTGTACGCCTAAAAATCACTTAAATGGGAGTGAATTTTATGTTATACACATTTACCACAATAAAAAACACTTTTCTAAAATACAATTACTAGAAAACTGAATGAAATAAAGAAAAAAGATACATTTATTTTATGTATTTCTACCACAATAATTAAAAGAACCTATATCCAGAAAAACTACCTTTCAAAGATGAAGATGAAATAATGACATTCCCAGATGACTATAATTGAGAGAATTCTTTGCCAGCAGGCCAACCTTAAAAGAAACACTAAAGAAACTCTTCAGCATGAAGCAAGTAACATCAGAGAATAATCTGAACCCACTCATAAAAACAAAGAGGACCAGTAAGTGTAATAATACAGGTAATTATAAAAGACAGTACACTTCATGACAATTGTATGTTTTCTTCTTTTCTTCTCTTAACTGATTTAAATGGCAATTGCATATATATATATATATATATATATATATATATATATATATAATTGTATTTGATGGACTTATATACAAATGCAATGTATTTTACACTAACAGCACAAAGGATGTTGGCAGGAGAAAACCTATATTGGAGCAAAGAAACGACACCAGATGCAATTCAAATCTACAAAGGAAGTGAAGAAAGCCAGAAATAATAAATAAGAAGGTTAACATAACAAATTCTATAAATATATACATACTCTTCTTTCTTCTCTCAACTTCTTTAAAAGATATAAAACTGGGGCCAGCCAGTGGCTAGTGGTTAAGTTCACATGTTCTGCTTTGGTGGCCGGGAGTTCACTGCTAGGGATCCAGGGCGCAGACCTACATATGCCATATCAAGCCATGCTGTGGCAGGAGTCCCACACATGAATCCGACAAAGATGGGCA